TGCTGTCCTGACAGACTGCCTGTCAGACATTGTCCTGGATGAGGGCAAATTTCCTACAGTTGAATGTGAACAAGACTGAAGCTCCATTGGCTCGCGCCAGCGCCTCAGGCTCTGGCAGCATCAACCTCCATGACTGCCCACTTCAATTCACCAAGTCAGGAACCTAGGTGTCTTTTTCGACCCTCAACTGTCTTCTTCCCCACATCCAAGCCATGACCCGCTCTGCCTTCCCTCACCTCCGTAACATCGCCCGACTCCGCCACTCCCTCACCCCTCAGGCCGCTGAAACCCTTGTTCATGCCTTCATCACCTCCAGGCTCAAATGCCCTGCTTGTCGGCCTTCCCAACTCCACCCTCCACAGGCTGCAGATAATCCAGAACTCTGCAGCCCATGTCCGCTCCTGCACCAAACTCTGTGACCCCATTCTCGCCCAACTCCATTGGCTCCCTATCCTTCAGAGGATCCAGTTCAAGATCCTGATCTTCACTTACAAAGCCCTCGATGGCCTCACCCCACCCTACCTCTGCGACCTCCTAACCCCCTACCAACTCCTCCGCTCAGCCGGCTCCAGCCCGATCCACGTCCCCCGCCCCACCCGCCCCACCATTGGCGGGAGAGCCTTCAGCCACTCTGCCTCCAACCTCTGGAATTCCATCCCCCAATCACTCTGCCTCGCCCCCTCCTTAGCCTCCTTCAAGTCCCGCCTCAAAACCCTCCTCTTTGACCATACCATCGGTCACTCTCCTTCCCTTCTCCCTCCCCGATCCCAGCTCGGGTCTGAAGTGCTATATTGTGTCCAGCGCCTTGGGACGTCCTCCCGACGTGAAAGGCGCTATACAAATGTAATCATGTTGTTGTTGTAGAACAGTCAAGCAGCTGTTCTCGCTATCATAGACTTTCATATCACACTTAGGTGTGTGTTACAGCCAAACTGTTGAACACCAAACTATATTGTGTAAATATTTCTACCACAGCTTTTCATCAACTTAGTACTTACAAGATGAGGTAAGGTCTGTCTTTGTTCCAAGTGGAAGAGGTCAAGCTACCGTGTGTGTGAGAGAATTAAACAAAAACATTGAAATAGTTTGGAATTTATCAAAAATGTAAGGTATTATAGTTGTACTTCCACAATGACTAAAGATCATGGTGTGCATACTCTCGAAGGGGGCAACCAACAATATTTCAATTTCTTCCCTGCCCTCCAACCTCCATTCTCATTTAACTTCATTTTCTACTTGGAAAAATAATGAGCTCAAGTGCAGTGTGTGGCTTATCTTGTATTTCGTGGAGTCCTGTAGCTCAGTGGTTAGAGCACTCGCCTAACAAGCAAGAGACCTCGGTTCTATTCCCGGCAGGGCAAAATGTAGGGCAAGTTTCCTTACTCCACACGCCTTTGTTTACCAAGCAGTAAGTAGGAACTTGTTTGTTAGTCGATTGGTGGATCGCTTTTCCAGGGATAATAATCCTTAAAATATAATAATAAATTGGTCACTCAATCCAGGATTGTTTGTGGGACACTGCTGTGCGCAATTGGCAGCTGCGTTTCGCCCACAAATGCACAGTCAATTCACTTTACAGTATATTCTGTGAAGCGCTTTGAGACATCCAGAAGATGTGAAAAGGGTTGTATCAAATGCAAAGATTATTATTATTAATTAACATGTCACATTTCATTCAGTTTGACTGTTTGGTAGATATAAAACCAGCCAAGTCAATTGTGCTCGAGGTGAAAAGAACACAGGGAATCTGCAACAGGTAGAGCAATGTGACTAATTCAGTTGCAGATGCTCTTTTGAGGTTGTAGCTACGACAGGTTGTTGAGGCAGGGGAGATTGAGCTTTCTCTGCAGTTAGTTATGACTTGGGAATAAATGATGCTGACATTGAGCGTGACATTGAAAAAAAGCAAGAAGGTGGTCATTTGATCCACTGCATCTGTGCTGGCGTTGGCCTAACCCCCATTGGAGCTCTGCTTTTACTCTGCTCTTTCCCCGTCACCTCTAATATTTTCCTCAAGTATTTATCTAATGCCCCTTTAATTGTTTTACTCCCAGCACTGACATCCATCACCTTGATGGCTATAAATTGAATCTGATATATAATATTTTAAAAAATTGTACACTAATTTTCCATTTTTGCAAAGCAAATGTACCTGAAAATACCTTGGTTTTCTTCTTTCCCCTCATTGCCTTGGTTTGGATATGCTGATGTAAAATGTTCATGCACTTTGGTAGTGTAAGGGAGGTGAGAAAATGTGATCCTGTAGGGTTTTAATGCAGTAATTAGTTTGGTATTAGTGTATGCTTTGGTCTTTGTAGAATAGAAATGCCACTTATCGGAGAGATAACTGCTTCATATTAACTGAATGGAAATGATGCTCGCTATTCACTGTTGCAAAAAGGTAAACCTGTTCAGGGAAATGTAAAATTAATATATTTTTAATGTCTGATGTATCCCCTTTGCAAAATAATGCAGTTCTACCCATATGTAGTTGCTGAAAGGAAAAAACTGGTTTGATCAGTGATTAGCCTACTGTGGAGGTTGCACTATATTTAGAACAGCTCAGGATAAACTGGTTCCTTGGCTTGTCTGTAGTGGGGCGAGGAACCTATTCACATCCTTCATTAATACCTTTAGGATATGAAGCTCTGTGTGTTTACTGCAGTGTATATCTAATTTAAACATTGACCCAAATGGCATTTGGGTTCTATTCATTGGCAGGTAAAGTGTTTTGACTTCTGTTCTAAGATCGGTGGCTTATGTTTACTCACTACTGCATTAGGGTTAGAATTTTCTTTTAAGAAGGGAGGCAGCTGCAGTTTGCCTACTATTACTGCAGCATATAAATAGTTAATAGAGAGGTGCCTCAGGATTGCTGCTAAACTGTGTGTACAGGTGAGTTGAGGGGTGGTGGAGAGAATGGATGTTCTGTGGTTCAGCCAATGTACACAAATCTATGGGGTGTGTATTAGCTGAAACATTTATTTGTATTTACAGATTGATCAAGATGCAGATAAAGAAAACTCACTCCTTCAATTTCCAGGTGTTGTGTTTTACTCCAGAAAATGGCACGTGTATTATGAAATGCTATGGAGTGTTCTCTCATCTTTGTGTTGCAGAGTCTTTCAGCACGTGGAATGGTGTTGGTGTGTTTGCCTTAGTGTGTGCTTTAGTCTTTGCGGAGCAGAATTGAATGTGCAGGAAACTTTGGGCAGGAAGGATTTTGTAATGTTCCTGTGTTGGTGAGGAACAAATTGAGATTAAAATGTGCTCACAGAGCTCTGCCATGAGTAAATATTTATAATTAGTGCAATTAATAGAAATTTCAGTCTGTGATCCAGGAGTATAGAATTCACACATTAAATTGTTGTGTTGTGAGTACAATGAACTGAACCATACAAACTCAAGACTCCTGTGGGAGAACCTACCTAAACAAACAAGTCTCTACACTTGTCTATAAATATAAGCATAATCTCTCAAAGTTTTATCTTCCAATTGTAGTAAAGTTCAGGTAATGTAGATTGTAGAATCCCTAGAGACTATCAGATCACTATTTGAGACATCAAGAAGATGTGAAAAAATGCTATATCAAATGCAAGAATTATTATTACTAGAATAATTATCTTTGCATTTGATTTAGTCTATCTGACAGCCTCACAAGCAATTACTGTTAAATGTAGTGACTACTTGCAGGCGAACGTGGGAGCCTATTTGTACACGGCAAAGTCCCATGAATATCCATGAAAGGAACGACCACTTTACATGGAGGATTATTGGCCAGGATGTTAGGAGAAATTCTTTTTTTCCTTTTTGAATGGTGCCATTTTCAATGTCTACTTGAACAGGCACACAGATGGACCTTGGTTTAACATCCCATCTGAAAACGGCACGTTCGACAATGCTACACTTACCCCATTATTGCATTGCAATGTCAGTTTAGACTCTGAGGTCGCTCTCTATGGGTGTTGAATCCACAATCTTCTGACATAGAAATGATAGTGCTACCAACTGAGTCGGCTGACACTTCATTAATGTAGAGGTGTGGTTCAAACCATCAGGAATTCACTGAAGCCAGACAATTTTGTATCCACTCATTCCTGTTGAGGAAGGGTTTGAGTTTGAGAGAAACACACCACCTGTATCTGCTGGTACTTGGCAGCTTCCTATATACCATTCTTCAGCTTCACCATGGTGCAGTGTGTGAAGAATCCTGTCACCTCTCTTTCTCCCCTAACCCCGCCTTCATAAAAGGTGTGACTATCTGACTACCCCTCTCAAGGGTCTTTGAGATGGGATGACTTGGAATACCATGAACCGATCTGGCTCTACTATCAGTTCCTCAAGTTGACTTCAACTAATTTCTCTCTTTGCCCTGTCGCCTTATAGCTAGCTCGACTTCAGCGAGTACTTGATAGCAGCCATTGCAGCAAGTGTACTGTTCAAAACCACCTGGGACTATGTATGGCCTATCATCACACTATGCTGAATCACCCTGTCCACTGATTATTTGCGTATTTTATATATATTATATATATATATATATCTTGAGGTACCCATTGTACTGAAGCACTGATACCAAGCATTTTATGTCAACACTTGCTCCCTCTCCATTCTCCATGCTGTTTGGATTCTCTGTGCTATCATCACATGTGTAGAATAACCCAGCATTGGTGGAAAGGAAGTGACAATTGCCCTGTTGATATCCACAGTTTAACCGCAACTCTCACTTTTAAACTTGCTAATCTGCTGTTTCACTGTCATTACTGATCTTCTACGTCTCTGGATTGCAAGGCTATCATTCATGGTAAATGTTTAAGAAACCAAAATGTCTTTGTATAAAAATACCTGTACAACATTTCAGCTTTTCTTGAATGTGTAACTGGTGTACTTTTGAATGGGAGACTATATTGATGTGGCTACTACTGATTGAATTGATCAGTATACTTTATAACATTTTATAATATTGCACTTTATAATATTGCTCTCATTTCTTTTCTCAGATGGCCAAGTTACCCCTCTGGTAGAACTATCAGCCAAGCAAGTAGCCCTTCACATTCCCTTTGAAGTAGTTGAGAAGGTTTACCCACCAGTACCTGAGCAGCTGCAGCTTCGTATTGCCTTTTGGAGTTTTCCAGAGAATGAGGAAGACATCAGGTAATAATAATAAATAATAATAATATTCCTTGCATTTGATATAAGACCTTATCAAGTCTTCGAGACGTCTCAAAGTGCTTCACAGATTATATTGTAAAGTGAATTGACTATATCTTGTGGGCGAAATGCGGCAGCAAATTGCCCACAGCAGTGTCCCACAAACAGTCGTGGATTGAGTCACCAATTTATAATTATTTTTTGGGAAGGAATTATTATCCCCTGAGACACACACCAAGTTTCCCTATCCACTCACTCTGTGTGACATATTATGCTTGGGTTTGCCATGCTGTGCAGAGTTGATTATAAGTTTGGCGTCCATGTTTGGTTGTGGGACAATTCCTGTTGCTGTTGCTTATGTAGGCTGGACTATGGGAACTCTCCTCGCCGGCCTTCCCGCCACCTCCCTCCACAAGCTGCAGGTCATTCAGAACTCTGCAGCTCGTGTACTGTCCCGCACCAGGCTTCGGGACCACATCACACCCACCCTCGCTCGCCTCCACTGGCTCCCCATCCCCCAGAGGATTGATTTCAAGATCCTCATCCTCACCTATAAGGCCATCCACGGCCTTGCTCCCTCCTACCTCTCTGACCTACTATCCCCCTATCTACCTGCCCGTACCCTCCGTTCCTCCGGCTCCGGTCTGCTCCACGTCCCCCGCCCCAATCGCCCTACCATCGTTGGTCGGGCCTTCAGCCTATCAGCCCCGAGGCTCTGGAACTCTATCCCCCAGTGCCTTCGCCTTGCTTCTTCCCTCTCCTCCTTCAAGGCCGGTCTCAAAACCTTTCTCTTTGACCGAGCCTTCACCTCCCCTCTCGACTCTCTTCCCCCACCTCGATCCCTCCCTTCCCTTCCCTCACCCTGACCATTTCCTCGCTCCCTCCCTTCCCTCCCCTCACCCTGACCATTTCCCCCCTGCTCGGGTCATGACCCAACTGTGCAGCGCCTTGGGACGTCCTCCTGACGTGAAAGGCGCTTTATAAATGGAATCTTGTTGTTGTTGTTATAACCGATAACGGGCTTGGAGGTTGCAAGTGGACTGGCGTGAGCAACCACATGATCCAAGACAAAGGAGAAACCCAAAACTTCAGTTGTCTAGCAATATTGAGTTATAAAATTGAATTAAAAAGGCAAATGGAGTAATAATGTATAATGTGCTATTCAAATATGATATGTTGCTAAATGCTAAAATGAAGCGGGAAATATGAATCCGGCTCTCTATTTCACATCACTCTCCTGTTGGAGATGCAGTGGCTTCACTCTCAGAGAGTATAAATGCAGCATTATTGACAACATTTTTTTAAGATTCAACTGTTTAAAGTGGGCCTACGTTTCACAACTGTGCAGGCGTTAAGCAATGTTCAGTTGGGCAAACCATGAACTGTGCCAATTTTATTACTTTGGGATTTATTGGCTACCTGAATGTCAAGTATGTACTGAACGGTTTCTAGCTTTTCCAGATAAGAGTACAATTGGAACATTGCAGCCGTTAGTTTGCAGTTATTCCATTTGATGGGGTTGTGGGCTGCTGGTTGCACATGAACAATAGGTCCTGTCCATATTCTACTTAGACTCCCATTGTTTGTGGCCAAAAAGTGGCAACTGAGCTAATTGAACAGTTACATTTTTTTCAGTATTGGATCAACATTAACTTTTACTTTTGCCCAAAACATTTCTCACTCATATCCAAGTTATTCTGGTTGTAGCCGTTTCATTCAGACACACTTGCACACAGGTATTGATTTAACATATGTTGTCCTTCTGACTTTAATTCACAACAATGAGCTTTTTTTAAAAAAAAAGCTTTGCAACGAATGCGAGTTGCAGCAGATTTCAACTTTTCCTGCTATTTGATTAGACGAGAATCTGAATTTTGGAGCTAATGCTTAAAATTATAGAAGAGTGCTTGACTATTGCTCATATTTTTATTTGTAATATTAGAACAAGTAGTATTTTCCTGATACTGATTGGAATGAGCATCTGCACCACACTGTTCATGTTTGTGTTGTGTGTTGTTTTTTGCTTTATTGCCAGGTTTATGAGTTTTTTTTTCTCTTGGCAAATTTGAATTTGCTGTCATTTAGGTTGGTAATATGCCCAATTCTTCACTCTGGCACTCTTGGGTTGACAGTAACCTATAACACTGTATGGGGTTTGCCACATAGTGTGCATTTAAATGTTAAATTTGGATCCACATGCTTTAATTTATCATAAACTTAAATGATAGCAATGTTTACAGATTCAGCTGATAGCACTCTTGCCTTTGAGTCAGAAGGATGTGGGTTCAAACCCCACATCAGGACTTTAATTTCATAGTACAGGCTGACAATCCGGGTGGGTGCCATACTCCTGATGAGATGTGAAACAAAGGCCTGCCTTACCTGCCTGTTCAGGAGGATGTTTAGATCCTGCAGCACTATTCGAAAATAAACTCCTAGTGTCCTGGCCAACAGATAAAATTGGTCATTTACTTTATCGCTGTTTGTGGGAAATTGGCTGTTGGTATATCATTTCATCAATCACAGATGATAAAGGTGTTTTACAGGAATCTTTATGTTGGAAGTATAGTTTTGTCAGCTAAATGTTTAGTGGAGCTCCATTTACTGCTAATGAGTTGATTCTAAAAACTTATTTGGATCAGCAATAGTGCATATACAGTGCAAGATGCCTAGAATTTCATATGAATGTTAACTATTGAACCTATGGGATTACTTTACCTTTAAGTAAGTGCATAGACCTTAAGATGACCCAGATGTCTGCCAAGCTTTTCAAGTGCCTTGGATCCAATTCAGCACAGTCTCCAGTGCAGAGCAGACTGGATTACATCATTGACATATCAAAGAGCAAAGCTCTGAGGGCTGAATGGTAAATAACAACAGTCTTTTGGTGGCATTGAAAACCTACTTAATGCTTGACCAATAGGAATAATGTAATAACAATATAATACTGGTAAACAACCTAAAATCAATATGGGACATCCCTTTTTATACTAATTCATTAGACTAGGGCACTGTAACAATTTTCGATAGAGGAGCCTTTACTCACATTGTGCTTTCTACCTTTAGATACTGCATACATACATCTGGCCATTCTCAGACAATTTAAGTAACTTTGCTACAAGCGTTTTGTCTATTGCTGTTGTAGGAAGGGACGAGCCTTACCCAGTGCTTAAAGTAGACAATTGTAACTTTAGATTTGCTGTGGAAAAGTTTTAGTGATTTTTGTTTTAAGCCCTGATCTATGGGGGAGAGGTGCCAGTAACTATCTCAAGCTACCAAACAAATAAAATTATGACTTGTAATAAAGTATCATCTGATTTTCCAAATTTATTTAGTTTTTGAATGTTTGGCATCTGACTGGATTTAAACCTGTCTTGGTTAATGAAGAGTGATAGTTGAAGGTTACCCTTAGATTGATGTTTCTACTGCAGTTTATGTCTACTTCCTCAGCGGCACAATTAGATCTCACGCTTGCTTAAACTCTTTTATAACTACAGTAACATGCCTTCTGAACTTTAAACTGAAGATAATTCAGTTCATATGAAGTCCTTATATATTCTATCCATGGAAATGAATAGCAACCTCGACAGTAATATAAATGTGAGCTCATTTGGTGTGGGTGTTGATTTGCTTCCAGATGTTTGTCGCTTGACTTTGGCTAGAAGTGACTCATAAAACAATAGTAACAGCATATTCAGAATTATATAAATTCTTCTATCCCTTTGGAGCTGACCAAGTATTGTGAGGCTGTAACTGGTGAGCTCTTGATGTTCATATTGAAAGTATCATGCAGTACAAAACGAACAATTGCTTGGATCTACAATCAGACTCTTCCAGGGCAATGTAAAGACCTGGCACTGGTTAATGTTGGATCAGTTTTAAGATGAGTAGTATTTAGAAAGATACTATTAAGAAAGATTTGTTGATGAACTGGTTTATCATTGTGTGAATCTTTAGTCAAAACAAACTATGTACAGTACCAACTTGTGTAGATGTGAAATGTTGCTATAAGTTCTACTCTAAATATAATGATTGCAAGTCAAGGGCCCAAGTCATTCGGTGACATTCATCATAGTAATTTCCAGTAGGTGATGCTTGTGGCAAATCTGTTTTATTTAAATATTTCACATTTTGTCATTTTCCAGTCTCTTTTAGTTTAATTTTCATGCAGTGAAGTCAATTTTTGAGAATCAATTATGTTTCGCATCTTATTTCTAGGATACAGGAATGGAATCACAAATCTGACTGAGCCATACCCTCTCTACCTGTTTACTCTCTACCAAAACCTGTTCAGTTTTATTTTAACTGATTTAATTGCTTTAGGTCTGCCAAAACTAGCTTTCCAATGACCTGAGTTGTTTGTCATTTAAAAGGTCTATGTTGATTGGAACTTTGATAACTTGGCAACAACATCTTGTCATGTCAAACCGTCTCAAAGTGCTTTACGAGTAATTACTGTGAAGTATGGTGACTGTTTCCTATCTACTTGTTCAGGTAGATGTTAAAGATCCCATGGCACTGTTTGAGAAGAGAACAGAGTTTCTCCCGGTGTCCTGGCCAATAATTCTCACAAATAAAATTGATCGTGGTTGCAAGATCTGAATGCTGCAGTCTTTACACTGATGCCCTCTCTTCATAAATTTACCTACAAAACTACACAGTCACTCCGCTTTACAATGAATCCTGTGAAATACTTTGAGATGTCCTCCCAACGTGAAATGCACTGTATCAAATGCCCAGGTTCTTATTGTTTTATTATTTCTTGCGCTCGGAGAGTGAACTTATACATAAGTGTGTAACTTTGCATTACTCTTGCATTCATCTTCGGAGATTCCAGTGTAATTTGTTTACTGGTCCTGCATCATTTTTTTTCTGTAGTTTCAGCGAGATTCTATACAAAGATAGTGTAATCTTCCAAATAAAGAGTGCGTTAGATAAAAGTGCTTGGGCATTTTTTGTTGTAGTGGATTTAGTAATTGGGTTATTTCAGATTGTTCAGTGAGTGAGGATTATGTTTTTCCGCTTTCGGTTAAGTATGTTTACATAATTGCCTTTAAAGCAGGTTTATAAATAAGATTGACATGGATCATATACTTTTTTAATTTGTTGGCACCTGCAATGGGAATATGATTGGCTGAAGGCTGGAGCATTGAATTTTCTCTGTTCTTGGGCTACCTTTTGTTAATGCTATTGTAATGCCATCGTGGCTTCACTTGCAAAAATTACAGTCCTAATTAGTAACCGAGCCAATCAGCTTAATCAATCACTGTAGTTAACAATTGTAGACGATTAATTAAGGAATACAGCTTCTAAGCCATTCATGAAGAATGTACTGTGAATAACAGGTCCTTCTCAAGATGTAATTGATCCTGAAATTCTGCGCGAGTGAGTGAATGAGTGGTCTGGTTTATAAACCTCATTATTTTATGCATTTGTGCTTCCAGAGCTGATGTAATGAAACTTCTACACTACATCCAGGCCAGTTGTAACAAAGGCCAGTTGCAAAGATGAAGCTCCCTATAGTTTTGCTCAGCAATTTGTTTAAACTTTTTCGGCTTCAGAAGCAACTATCCATCCACATGAACTTTCTCGGTTAGGTTTCTCTGAACCGTAAGCATGTTACTGCTGTGAACCAATACTTACTAGGGTTGGATTGGCACTGCCGCAGAACAGCTTCTGTTTAACTAGGCTTGGCAGTCAGGCGCAGTATAAAGGCGGTATTATTCCAAGTGGTATCACCTTACCCAGTAGAACAAATTTGAAAATGACGTATTGTTTTTAGGAACATCACACCTGATCTGATGCTTTATTAGTTAATGGCACCCTTTTCTCTTTTTAATCCTGTTTGCCTGCCTTTTCTCCAATAATCCCTTTACTATCCTGTAGTATTTGCTTATTTTCCTTTACAAGCACCTCAATTCATTTTCAGTTGTCGCCAATTCAGGCAATGTGCTCCACATTCTCACACAGTTTCACAAATTCAAAGTACATTCTATGATTAATGCCCAGTTTTAATAAATACTGCTTTTTTCCTACATTATTATATAAATCTGTGGCTCAGTAGGGCGGCACCGTATTCTTTGTTATGCAGTGCATTTGGGGGAAATGCAATTTGCAGACACTTCCTATTCAGACCTAATCCAAGCAAGTGGAGTTAGAACAGGAAGCTGCGTTAAAACATGCTGTTAAAATATGCTGTGGCATTTGTGTCCTATTTTTCCTTCCTTTTTCCATCCTGATTCTTAATTAATCTGAATTTTTAAGAAAAAACTAGTATAAAACAATCTGCGTAAAAGTGGCACTGAATGAAGATTCTTAGATTGTTCCACTTTCATGTATAACAAGCCATCTCTTAAAATCTGCCATCTGAGACACTACCCTACGTGAAGGGTAAGATATAACTGCAAGTTATTGTTGTAAACTGGGGAAATCACAGGATATTATTGCATTATGACTTCTTAATGCACTGGTCCTATGATATATGTAGATTGCAATCCACTGGCTAATTTTCTCCATGATTCGGCCTGGATTGGGATAACAGGGGAAATTACTATGGGTGGGTGAGACGTAAAGCCATCCAGAAATATCAAGGAGATTTCTTGTTCAATGCTCCTTTGTTCAATTTCTTTACAATGGTGGGCTCAACGTCTTAAATAAATGATTATTGACTGATTTATCTTCAACTAAAGTGATCTTCGTAAAACAAATATTTAGAATAGCTGACAATAGCAAAATTGGGCACAACAAACTTTTTTTAAAAAAATCTTCCCTCAGTCCTACTATTTATAGCTCTACTGAACCTCTGTTATCTTATCCCCAGGTTGTACTCGTGTTTGGCTAATGGAAGCGCAGATGAATTTCAGCGAGGGGAGCAGCTTTTCAGAGTGCGGGCAGTCAAAGATCCACTGCAGATAGGTAAGCGGTGTTCCTGAACAGTCCTGTTGTCATCTTTTATAACCTACCAGCCTTGTAAATGGGAAAATAGAAATATTTATCAATAGATGGCAACTACTTCTTTGCTTTGAGCATTGAGGTTTGGCTCAACACAACAGAGCTGCATGCACACAGATCTTGTATTTGTGTCTCCCAAGGTCCTGCTTTTGTCAGGATTTTTATGAAGCCATATAGAGAAAGTAGGTAGCCTTGTGTTATACTATTTAATAGAAGAGGACATATGCTGTTGGAAGTGTGGTGCATAGTGCTTTCTCACTGAACAAATGTTGGGATGGAATCTAAACTTATTCAGAATTGCCATGATTCTCCCATCCCTTTCAGCATCCAACAATTATCCTGCGTTAGATGTTTAACGGTGTGTGACACTTTGCTGGATATTAACACTACTGTCCCATCACAAATATTACTTGGGTTTGCTGGAATCTAATTGATGGGAAGCTTACCTTTGATTTTAGGTATATGTTCAAGACATTCTCGCCCCTGATTTAACACTCCTTTCTTATTGTGACCATTGATATGATTAAAGAATGATTCTGGCAAAAGTTTGGGAGAAAATTGCTTGCTCAGAACTCGGTGTGTGTATGTGTGTGGGAGGGATGCTTCTATGCTAGAACAATTCACAGAATATGAAAGGCTATTATTGTAGCACACATAATACTAAAATTAATTAAACTTAAGAATTTGGTTTGTAAATTTACTACTTGACTGTCTTAATTTGCTCTAGTTGTAAAAAAAACTCTGCATTTCTCATGAGAAATCAGTCCAATGACCAGCTTTCAAATGTGCCCGATAACTGGCTGCTGGTGATGTGTAAGAGTGGCCCAGAGGAGACTTCATTACATTTCTGTCTCTTGCCTTCCTTGTTGCCTCTGTTGTGAATTATCCTTGATTTTTAAAATTGCTGAGACCTTACCGTCACCATCTGGTGAGCCTAAAGCATTTCCTAATGTACTCCTAATCACTTTATCAGCAAACTGCAGTTTGGGAGGGAAATGTTTTGGAATGTAACAATGGATTAATCTTTGCTTTAAGAAGTCACAGGCTTGCATTTAGGTTCATGGATTTTTGGAATGTTGTGTGCTTTTTGCAATGATTACTTATTTTCTGAAATGAAATAGGCAACTATTTCTCCACGTATTGATGCATCACAATAATTAAGAACTGTGCAGAATTAATGCTAGTTCATTGATTTTTGGCCCTTTTTTTGAAGTTTGATCATAAATGATCAGGTAACTTGTTTGTTAAAGCCTTTTGGTAGTGAAACTGAATGTTTAAATGCATGCCTTATGCATTCCTGTTCTGTTCCACTCTTAAGGCACTATGTACTGAATCAGGATGGAAGGATAGTCATTATTAGAGTTGACTAGTCATGATTGTTCATGATTCTAAGTTAGTGCAGTTAGGATTCAATCTTTCTTGCATTTCAATGTATCATCATAGAATTATACAACACAGAAGGAGGTCATTCAGCCCATTGTGTCGGTGCCGGCCAATATACATTAGAAAACATTAGAATATACAGCACAGAAATGGGCCATTTCGGCCCAACTGGTCTATGCCGGTGTTTATGCTCCACATGAGCCCTTCCTCAATTAAGTCTTCAAGTATAACCTTCTATTCCTTTCTCCCTTATGTACCTATCTAGCTTTTCCTTAAATACATCTATGCTATTTTCCTCAACAACTCCTTGTGGTAGCATGTTCCACATTCCCATTACTCTCTGTATGAATTTTTTTTCTTTAACTTCCCTATTTGATCTATTTGTGACTATTATATTTATAGCCCCTGATTTTGGTCTCCCCCACAAGTAGAAACATCTTCCCTATGTCTACCCTATCAAAACCTTTCATAATTTTAAAGGCCTCTATCAAGTCACCCCTTTTCAAGAGAAAAGAGTCCAAGCATGTTCAGCCTTTCCTGATAGGTATAACCTCTCAGTTCTGGGATTATCCTTGTGAATCTCATTTGCACCTTCTTCAATGCCTCTACATCCCTTCCATAATGTGAGGACCAGAACTGCACACAGTATTCCAAGTGTGGTCTAACCAAGGTTCTATAGAAGTTTACTATAACTTTCCTGTTTTCATTTATATCCCCCTAGAAATGAACCCCAAAGCCTGACTTGCTTTTTTATGGCCTTATTAACCTGTGTTGCTACTTTTAGTGAATTGTGAATGTGTACCCCTAGGTCCCTTTGCACCTCTACTCCATTTAAGTTTTTATTTTTCAGGATGTATGTGACTTCCTTCTACCAAAATGTACCATCTCACACAATATATAGCACACAAATTGAGAGCTTCTATGCTGTAGAAAACATGACCTGCATTGTACATTCAAATCATCTAGAAAAGGCTGGCTGATGTTACAGAAGTTCTTTAGGAATGAAGAAATCTTGTATCCAAAATGTAATAAAGCAGCTATAGTATTTCTTGATCTAACACAAATCAGTGAGCTATATTTATGGTATCTGAAATAGAATCTCACCTGTGACACTGTTGCATTACAAGTGCAGTATCAACAACAACAAATTACATTTATAAAGCAACTTTCATATCAGAAGGATTACCGAAGGCACTGGACAGTTAAGGGATTGCACTTGAGTTGGAGGTCGCAATTGAGAGTTGGAGGTTGGGTAGAATGTGGCTGGTAGTGTGGCTAAAGGAGAAAGGAAGTTGGAAAAATTTAGTTGAACCCACTTATTAAATGTGTATACAATCAGTGTCCAGGCTTTCATTTCTGAAGTGTACCTCATTTCGTATTTTGTCTCTATTTTTTGGGGAGGTAGAGAATCACTGTTTCTTGATCTCCACTTTGAATGCAACCCCAACCATAATAGGGAACATTTAGTATACAATTGCTTCCTGCTAGTTGGTAGAGGTGGAGACCAGAGGTCTATTTGCTTAGCCTCACATATTTCATGTCTTAAGGAGAGATGCTGAAGACAATTAAAGTGGCTTGTGGAATGATCAATGTCGAGGAATATTGTGCTAAAAGGCTACTGAGATATTTGAGTAGTGCAGAAGTCAAATTGGTGCCTTTCAAAATAGTCCACGTGGAAGCAAGGTACTAGCAGTCACTGTCTGAATGTGTGCAACAGCTGTTGGGATTTTGAAGTGAAATTAAATTTTGCATGATACTAGGGGATATGATTATGAGCTATGTAGAATTCCAACTACCGTATAATGAGTATCCTCTCTATAATTAGTAATCCCTTCTCTCTGCCAAGACTTCTTCATTTTACCTTGCACAGACTTTGTGCTGGTCGAATTGTCTGATTTCTATCTTCAGCTGTCCTTGTCTGCAGAGTTTGCACACTCCGCCTTCCAGGTTAAGTGGTTAGACTTTATCCCTTGGATCTGTTCTAAGGTATTATTTAATAGGTAGAAGCCAGTGAGGATTTGTTCAGGTTCGTTATTCCCTGCTCGGCGGGTGAAGTGGACTACAAACCCCCTCCCTCCTTTCCAGGAAATGCTGTGTAAAACTATGTAAATCTACGTCACACCGCTGGCTCATTGATTTGGTGGACTAATGCAGTATGTCACTTTTGGTACAGGGGGGAGAAATCGCCCATCTCAGCTGAAAAACTTTTTTTTAGGCACTAGGCAATCTGATTAGGGAACAAATTTTGTTTTCTTTAGAGTGGTAAAAGTGTGTCCTTACAAAGAATATTGTGTTTGAGGAATTTATGGACTCTGTTGCATTGCCCTACAAAAATGTATAAAACCACCCACATGCTTTTGACTTCACTGGATGTTTGGTTGCAATAAGCCGCTGGTGTCGGAGGCAGAATGTATGGTAGCAGAGTTCAAGTGCAGTGAATAATATAGAGTACAATGGGGTTGAAGATGGGTTGAGTTGTGGCACAATGTCCTTTTTCAGCATTCACAAGGCATATAATGAAGTGAACAAGATACGTGCTAGGACACTTGTTTTGTACTGGAGATGATTTTAGCCATGTTGTGAACTATCCACAGCATTACTAACTAAATTGTACTGTAACTGAAGAACCTAACTAATAGCCAGTTTCAGTAACCTGGAGCCCAGGGGGCCTAGTTTCAGTATTTGGGTACTGGGGGGGCTAATTTCAGTAGTTTCAGTAACTTGGGACCGTGGCGATTAGTTTCAGTAGCTGGGGTACATGGGGCTAGATTCAGTCACCGGGTAAAGATCTTTAACAACAACAAATTACATTTACATAGCATACTTTCACGTTGTTGGGAGGACAACCCAAATTTTTATCAGCGCTGAAGTGGTTTGATCATGAGTTCTGATGATGATCACCTACTCGTCTAACAGTTGCTCAGTTAGTTGCTGCACCAATACCGATCAGCAGTTTTGTGGCCAGTTAACAACAACAAGATTGCATTTATAGAGCGCTTTTACGTCGGGAGGACGTCCCAAGGTGCTGGACAGTTGGGTCGGGACCTGAGCAGGGGGAAATGGTCAGGGTGAGGGAAGGGAGGGAGCGAGGAGGAGGTAGAGAGTTGAGAGGGGAGCTGAAGGCACGGTTGAAGAGAAAGGTCTTGAGACCGGCCTTGACGGAGGAAAGGGAGGAAGTAAGGCGAAGGCACTGGGGGATGCAGTTCCAGAGCTTAGGGGCTGAGAGGCTGAAGGCCCGACCACTGATGGTAGGGCGGAGGATGTGGAGCAGACCGGAGCCAGAGGAACGGAGGGTACGGGCAGGTAAGTAGGGGTATAGTAGATCGGAGAGGTAGGAGGGAGCAAGGCCGTGAATGGCCTTGTAGGTGAGGATGAGGATCTTGAATTCGATCCTCTGGGGGATGGGGAGCCAGTGGAGGCGAGCGAGGGTGGGAGTAATGTGGACCCGAAGCCTGGTGCAGGACAGTACACGAGCTGCAGAGTTCTGAATGACCTGCAGCTTGTGGAGGGAGGTGCTGGGAAGGCCGACGAGGAGAGTTCCCGTAGTCCAGCCTTGAGGTGATAAAGGCGTGGACCAGTGTTTCAGCAGCGTGAGGGGTGAGGTAGTGCCGTAGTCTGGCGATGTTCCGGAGGTGGTGGAAGGCGATGCCAATTTTGGTGCGGATGTGGGGAAGAAAGGTTAATGAGTCTCGGGTAGGTCTTTGCTCAGAGTTTGATGTTTGCCGGCTGGCTGGGGATGACGTTGGCTGACCAGCTGTGCACAGGGTGTCTTTTGGTTGGGCGGAAGGAGTGTGCAATAATAAATCATGATATACAATATCTACAGAAGATTTAAAACCAAACCAACCGGCAAGTGTCCTGGATAGCAGGTTGCCCGAGAGGTACGTCTCCTCTGTACTCGTGCATGTAAACAGAAGGATGTGAGACTTGAGGTGCTACATGTCTGTTTTTATTTCTCTTCTATCGATGAATTGTTCTGAGACAAACTTCACAATATTTTATTCGAAAGAGGGAGGCTAAATAGTAACTACCAAACAAATACTGAAGTACTGCAAACGGGATTGTGTGAAGGTTTCTTTAAGTGGACAATGAACCCACTATTTGAGTATTTCCTCCTCTCAGTTGCACAGAACCTATGAAATGTTGTTATTGAAATTGTTTAACAGTGAGGGCAAAATAGCAACTAAGATGGGGGCTATTTTCTGCTTGTACTTTCAGAATCCTACTCATTTAAATATCCGTGACGAATGGTGACAAATTGTAAAAGAGTAAGAATTCTGCAGATACTGGATTCTAAACTTTCTAGAGATCATTCCTGAGGTGCCTTTTTTTAGATATGGAGGAAATCTATTGTTGTCTTGGTGCCTATGTCACTCTTCAAATCGTTCATTATTCAATTTTGTTTTGCAAAAAAAGTTTAAAGATTCTTTCCAACTATCCACAATTATTGCATGACCAATCGTTCTGCGTGTGAGTTTGTGTGCCGGCGGGGAGGAGAGGGAGAAAATCTCACCAGTATCCTAATGAATCCAAGTTCACAGCACAAACCAAATCCTAATTCAATTTAAATTGTGACGTTGAAGAGCATCAACCTGAGGAACGTTCATGGAATTTAATTAACTATTCCCTGTCCCATCCCCTCCCCTTGTCACTACACCTCCTAATCTCTGCAACTTCCTCTCCACCTCCTCTGATTCACCAGCTCTTCATCTGTCCTTTAAATCCCGCTTAAAAACTTACCTCTTCAACCACGCCTATGTTGTCTGATCCCGCTCATGTGAAGCGCTTTGAGACATACTGTTACGTGATGGACAATATGTGACTGCAAGTCGTGGCTGAGGATTGTCTGTGGTATCCTTGAACATTTTGAAGTGGCTCCCAGAGAGCAATTAAAACTTGTGTACACCTTTTGTAGTTGAGTCTCAATGGGTTTCATTTTGCGCTGAACTTTATAATGGAAAAATCAAAGAATTCAGGTTGGAGTCTGAATCCAGATATTCAAGGCACTGAAATATTTGTTGATATGAGCTAATGCTGAAAAGAGTGGTCCAACTGGATAGTCATGAGGTTATCGATCTCTTGAAATAACATTTTTTTCTTTTCTTCTCTCCTTTTCTCATTCCACAAAATACAGGATTTCACTTAAGTGCCACAGTGGTTCCTCCGCAGACTGCTCAAGCGAAAGGAGCATACAATCTGGCAGTTATGTTCGATCGGTGCAGAATAACCTCGTGTAGCTGTACCTGTGGAGCAGGAGCTAAATGGTGTGCTCATGTAGTGGCCCTTTGCCTCTTCAGGATACATAATGTAAGTAAAATGCATGTTGTCTAATATAATCCACTGCTACAAATAATGAGTCTTGCGTTTTCTAAAATTTGAAGGAAATACCCTTGGGTGATGGAGGAGTAAGGAGAGAAGATTAAGCGAGATGTTTCAAGGGTTGAATTGGCTGTGAGACAACAATACCTTAAATAGCTTCATAAAATGTTTTTTCCCCTGATGCTATGTGTTGTTTTTTTCAAACAACAACAACTTGAACTTATGTAGTGGCCTCCACCCCGGGGGATGTCCCAGAGCGCTTAACAATGGTGGAGCCCAAGGCCAAGCCAGGGGGAGGGGGAAGGTGACCGTAGGCGCGGTCGAAAAGGAAAGTCTTCATAACCCAAGATAAAGCCTGGAATGCAGCATTCTACAGAAAAGATGTCAGGTAGTTTGGTTAAGCAAAAGTATACAGATCATAAAATCAAGTCATCAAGATAATTGCTGCATTGCAGTTTTGTAATTTGTTCAAAAGTTATAATTTTGTTGTACAGAAGCCCGAGCTTTCTGTTTTGTCCTTGTGCCATTTTATCCCGTTTCGTTTTGTGTCTGGTATTATATGTCATTGATCAGGAACAAATGCTTGCACCAAGTAACATTTCATTTCTTCAGGAGTAGGAATCGATCCTGTCTGAGTTGGATTTCCAATTTTTATTGCTATTGTATTGTTGCTTCAGTTATAAAATGCATTTCTTGGTACTTTCAATTTCAGTGGAAATCCAAATCCAAATTATTTATAAGAACGGCTTTAAAACTGCTATAAAAATTCTTTGAAAACAACTGCCTTGCAATCAGCAATTTTTTAAGTAACATTTACTTGTTGATTTTCTTTTAAATCCATTTAAAATAATAATCCTTGCATGCAGTGTAAGGCTTTTCACATAAGGCAAAAACTTAAAGAGCTTCATTGTGGGCCGGAGGTCTGCATCGCTCCAAAAGAGGGAGTGTCAAGTTTCTCTGAAACAACCTGGTGGAAAATGCATGAAATGCTGCTTGTTATGAGTGTTGAATAGGGCAGGATTTTAATACATGACTTGGCTGGTCAGAAATCTTGTGCTTTAGTTGTCCGAATGTGATCTAACTCACTAATGTTTTTGAATGCATCACATTGTTACTAAAGCAACAACAAATTGCAGGAAAAAACATTTTGTTTTAGTGGTGTGAGGTATTGCTAAGTGTGAAATAATTTAGTTCTGTTTTTGTGCACTCTTTTTTGTAAAAGCGATTGATTGGAACGCTCAGAAGAAATCTGAGCGTAGAAGTTATTGCTGAGGGGGCGGATGACCTTTGAGTTGATATGGTGTTTTTTTTTAAAAAAAGCTGCTGATCGTTTGTAGCTGTCCTGCTATTTTGGTATCTTGTCTGTAAAATTCACCTGGTATTTTCCCTTCTGTATTTGTCAGTTCTTGTTTTTAATACTGATTCGTGCTCAACATTATTGTATATTTCATTGTATTCTGCATGCTTTGAATCTCCCAATTTTTTTAATAAAGCTATTTGTAGGCACTGTTAGGTCTACATGTAATCATAAATTTACAGCCCAGAAGGAGGTTATTAGACTAATTATTTCTATGCTGGCTTTCTGAAAGGTATTAGTCCCATTCGCAACAACAACTTGGATTTGCATAGCGCCCTTCATGCGAGGTAGGGTCCCGGAGTGCTTAACAGTGGCGGACTCTGACACTGATCCAGTAGGAGAGGGAGGGGGGAGGTGACCATAAGCACGATCAAAAAGGAAGGTCTTTGGATGACATTTGAAAGTGGGGAGGGAGGGGGCAAGGTGAAAGGAGTGGCTGAAGGCACGACCACCGATGGTGGAGGGGATGAGGAACAAACAGGAGGCCGGAGGTGGTGGAGTGGATGGTAAGCAGATTAGATAGATAGGAAGTTGCAAGGGTGTGAAGAGATTTGAAAACGAGTGAGAGGATCTTGAAATTGATCCATTCGGTAATTGGGAGCTAGTGGAACCTGGCAAGGACTGGTGCGATAGGGATACAGAGTTTTGTGTGGGTGAGTATCAGTTGGCAAAGTTTTGGATTCATTGAATTTTTTGTATGGTGGAGCTGGGGAGACCAGCACTGGAAGTGACGGTGGGGGCTAAGGGAAACAGGACAGAGGGGATGGCACTCATGGCTATGTTTGGACCAAAGGCAGAGAGGGAGGGCCATTTCATTTTGACACCATTTCATTTTGGCGTCTCCATGCCAGCAACCTCCTCACCTTGGAACACCGACCCCTCTGCCTGGTCACTGGCTCACCCGAGGCCTTTTCCATATCCTATTCTGTATGTCCTTTTCAGTGGTCTCAAATTTCCTCTTTAAATTTTTTATTAGGATTCTGCTTATGATTACCTTAAGAAGGAGAGCAAAGATTTAAGGCAATTCATCAACTCAACAACTAGTGGATATAACGTCTTCCTCTTATGTTATCAAAACCCCCAATAAAAAAAACCTTAGCATGTCTTTTCTGATCCTTCTCTGCTTCACGTCTCTGGTATTACACTGAATGCTTCATGCTGATGGATATTAGGGTTATAAAATCTTAAAAAACATTATATTTTGTCTTTGAAATTTTGACTAAATTATGGTATTCAATTTAGTTGCAAAATGCTTATTCAAGAGTTTCTGTTTACCTTTTTCATACATTTAACAAAAAGTTGTTTTCAATCAACTTGAATAATGGCAGTGCTTTAAGACTGGAGTGCTTTGTGATCGATTTCACAGATGACAGAAAAGTGAGTTGTTTTTTTTTGATCCAGACTGTATGTAGGTGGTGGCTTCAATTTCTGATTTTAAGATATTTTCCTCTCTTTCCAGCCAAACATTTCTTTTTTAACCCGAGAGGCAGAATCTTTCCAGTACTCTGGCTTTCAATTCTTAAACACTAATTGTTGGACCTGAAAGCATGCAGAAGCCAATCGCATTCCCACAGTGATGGGAATTTCAAGGCGAGGTTGCCTGGGGTTGTTTGAATATTATGTCCTCAGCCAGTTGCAGGGCATCTTAGGCAGGAGCCTTGAAGCAGGTTTCTGCTAAACATCTTAGCTGTGAAATGCACAGAGAAGAATGTGGTAGATTTGTTTTTTTTAAAACTGCCCTGTTAGCTTAATGGGAAAGTGGATTCTCGATGTGGCACTGAGCCACACAGACCAGGAAGGCCTCCACGTTCGATCACTGGGCTGCACTCCATTATCTAATTTGATTTCTCAATATTTGATGCAGGGATTGAAATGAATCTAAATGATAAAAACAGAAAGCGACTCCATGTCAGCTCCAGTCTTCTTCGAAAATGTCAGAATGGCTCCATTGTTAGTGATGTGACTATTGATATTCTGATTTAAATATTTTTCATGTAAATCAGAGCACCTTTTTTGCCTAGCTTTATATGAAATTCTGGCAGGAACTATTGTGGAACGTTCTTAACACTAATGAGCTGCTCTTTATACAAGCCAGACACTATGGAATTAATGTGGAAAAGAGATGGATTATTGTGACCATTTGCCAATTATAACCTGATACTGACCTCAGGAATGATGTCGCCTATACAACCGATTCTATTCCATTGAGTATTCCGGCTACTGCTTCAATAGATGGTAGATATAGAAAGGTATATTTGAGAGAGAGAAAATAGATATTATGCCTAACCAGAAGTGGGTAGTCATTAGATCTTACTAAAGCAACACTTCCTTGAAGATATTGTAACTAATGTAAGTGAATTTTCAGTACATGTGAACAATACCAGCTCTATAAGAGTAATAGGCTTTTGTAGCAGCATCAACATGATTGTGAATCATTTCTATTAAGTTTCTCAACGGTTGTGTTCCTTTTAAATATATTGCATCAATTAAATTGCTTGAATATTATTTCCTCAGCCAGTTAAATTATTCAACCAGTTAACTACTTTGAAGTTTATTGGATGTTTTGTCATGACTGTTATTAATTGCCTTGGTCAATGACTTCCTTTACCTGTTAAAGCTGTATTTATATTTGACACTACTACCAGCATTTAACACATTTTGAAGAATTGAAGAGAATGTATTAAAAATACCAAAAGTCTAATTGAGCAGTGGGGTAGAAGTAAAATTAGGAGCATCTGAGAGGATCAAGATCTGATGGACAAAATCATCCTTAAATGTATCTGGCTTAATATTAGACAGAAGCACAAGAATTCTGATCAACGTATTGTAAATACCTCATCAAAAGAAGCCTAAAGAATTGCATTCTGAATAATTATAAACATTTTTGAAGAAGTTGTTGAATTTATCAAGCCACTATTGTTCATCCACATCTTCCCAGAAGATCTCTTGTCTGAGCAGGCTTTTATGTAGTTTGGCAATAATTTAATTATCAATGCAAAATCTTGCTATCTTGTATAGCGAGCTTCTGGCAAGAGTGCAACACATTGCCTTATGTGTCTCGATTCACAGTTTCCTTTAACTATCAAAACCATTCATGTTTTTCCTGTTTAACACCAAAAATGAATTATTCCCTTGTAAAATGAAAATTGCATGCTGTAAAAGAAATTGCTGACACTGTCTAGTTGGAAAAATTGCACATCCATTATGCAGTTTTAAATTAATTCTGAAATCAGTCCAGGCAATCTATAAAATTTGGGTGACCAAATTGAAGCTTTATTAGCGATGAGTATCGCAAACCTCCGATCTCTTTGGCAAAATGCACAGACTGCAAAATTCAGTGCTTTGAGGTAATTTTGACAATTGTAATGTTTCTTCACTTCTGATGCAGTTGCAGCTGTGCAATGGGAAAATTCCTTTACTGTGGTAAGTGTTAGACCAGTGCGGATGTGGTAGTGGAATTGTGCTGATCTGTGGACTCGGGTTACAGGCCTGGTGAGGTGAACTATGTTAAGTGTCTTGAAGATGGCCATTCATATTTTATTGGATCCTGCTATTGGGGTCATCACAATCTGAATCTGACCTGAAACCGTTAAGAGAATGAATCTGTACACTGGAGTTGGTGTTCAATAACTTTAATTTCAGCACTGGTGTAACAGCATCTGATATCGGAGTTTTAAAAAAAAACATTGTCCAACTTGAAGGGACTCTAATAATTATGCTGTAGTACTTTGATAACATCTAATTTGATAACATCAGAGTGTGTGTTTCATTCTGCAGGTACTGGCTATATCTGGTGATTAGGCTTCTCTTATTGTGAGAATGACCTAAGCTGTAGGAACAATGATAACTTAGTACAACTTCAGCTATTAGTTCAGTGTCCTATGTATTGCTTGTTGTCATTTGACAAATCATGCATAAGATCAACTATATTTTCCTGTGTGTAATAATTTTTTATATTCCCAATCGCATGTATTAAATGCATACTTTTGCAGTGCTGCATAAACGCACACAAAGGTGATTATCAGTCACCTGTGTTTGCCATGAGGCAAGTGCATCTGATTTCTATGATTTTTATTTTTTGAGGGAGAGCTGACTTCTACTACTTTACCATAAAAAAATAAGTTTTTTTTGTCCCCTTTTGTTCTGACCTCTTAGCTGTGATTCTTGATCTAAATTAATGCCTCCCACATCCTTGGTTTAAATGAGACCAAGGAAGAAAAATGCACTTGTACTGCTTGTAAGTCAGCAGCATACAGCTATGAGCATATCTGCTCCCATACACTGGAGCTTTATCAAAGTGCCTTTTTAAAAAAAAATATTTCTGTTATTCAATGATTCTGAGAGAGCTGCTTCATGAATAAGTCTACTTCTATCCATCCCGCTCAAATCCCAGAAGAAAATGCTGGGGCTACTGTTGAGAAAATAATGGGAACTTGATGCTGCTGCCAAAAAGAATTGTAACTTCCAGCAAAGCAGCCAGACGTGAAAAAAGTTTCCATGAGGGAAAACTGAGAAATTCTTGCCCAAATAGTTTGAATTTAACTCCTGAATAAGGGTGCAGCATTCCTATGACACTGAAATTAAGTAATTGTGGTTGTTTTGAGAACACACTGCTGTTGTACATGTGCATGTCGTACCATGAAGCATACTTTTCCCTGATTTCCATTGATTCCCAAAGTGACTCATGGAAACCACGGTGTGATCCCTCGTCTTGGCATTCCATTCTCTTACCTCTGAAGCAAACAATCCTGGCTTTAGGGAGAAGAGAGTTTGAGCTAGTCCAGATTGGCTTCTCTGGTGCTTCATTTAAAGATTAAAAGGTGAATTTCTGTGACAAAATCTGACTTTCAGAGACTTTTTGGCCTCGGGTGGCAAAAAGGAGTTTGGATGCTTTTTAATCTGTTCGATGGGTCAGGTTTTGCACTCTGTAAATACATGTTGATACATGTACACTATATACCCAATAAGTTGTATGTGGATCAATTCTCTAACCTCCATGACCAGGGCTTTCTGCCTGTTATCTATGACCATCTGATTGTAGGTGAATGATAGCATTGGATTTTCCTCTCTTCCATGAACAGGTTATACTGGTCAGATGTTTGGTTGGGTCAGAGGCAACAATGCATAAAGCAATAACTTGAAGTAAGGAGTTAACTTTCATCAAATGCTGTTACTTTTGATGCTTTCTATTAGAAAGAATATATAATAATGTTGACTGCCTTAGACACAGGACACAATAGTCCTCCCTGTTCATTCCAAGTTCCAGAGGAGAAGGTGTGGGTGTGTGCATCTAAGAGTGAGATCAGTGAAGTATAATAATAATGGATGGTTTATTCACCTTTTTGTGCTTTTTATAAATAAATTATTGAATTCTCTTCTGAGTTTGCTGGACCCAAATGGTCTTCTACTCTCTCACTTTCTGCCCCTGCACCATCTAGTGGTAGATATCCCACCCTGAACCTCACAGGGTCGAATTGCTCAGTTTCACTAAATATGCAAAAGTGCTATTTGTCAAATGAGCAAAACTACAATGCAACAGTCGGTCTGTACCATTGACCCTGTTCTGTTTAATTTATACAATTAAGAATCCTTGTATTTGATATAGCACCTTATTACATCATCAAAACATCTAAGCACTTCACAGGATTTTATTGTAAAGTGTTTTGATTGTGTATTTGTAGGCGAACACAGCAGCCAATTCATGCACAGCAATATCCTACAAAGGGCCATGAAGTGAGTGCCTAATTTTATTTGGGAGATTGTTGGCCAGGAAATTGGGAGAAACTCCTTTCTCTTTTCCAATAGTGCCATGGGATCTTTATCCTAATCAACCTAGACTATTCAGTCCTAACATGGGGTTTGGACCCATAGCCCACAACCCTCTAACTCAAGAGATGAGAGTGCTACTAACTGAGCTAGGCTGACATCTATATATGATTAAGACTGTATTACTCAATACAATAGTCAAGTAAATCTGTTGCTGACAACCTGAATGTGTGGCCTCGTGTTCTCTTGCTTTGGCAAACATGAAAGGATTGTTCTGGGTTTACTTTGAAACCTTTGCTGGCCACTACAGGAGACTAGAATTGGCAGTGGTCTGGGAGCAAGTCACGAATTGGCTTTATCAATTCCACCAGAGAATAGTGCATGTCCACTGGAGAAAGTTAAAGGGAATAGTAATTACCATCATCCTTCATGTTATGAAGCAGATTCTTCTTCCCATTTCCAATTCCATTTATGTATTTGACCACAGTACTGGGGGTAGAAATGCGCGTTGTTCTTATAAATAGTTCCGAGCTCCATGTTTTGCCTGTGGTAACTGATGATTGTAAGAGACTTCCCATCGTTGAGCCTTTATTCAATGAAAGCTAGAAACCCACAGTATTTTTAATCTTTTTTGTTGTGCACAGTTTTAATGCTGTTTTCCCATCCTTTGACTTGCTTATTACCATTTTGACCTAATTATCCTACCTGAAATAAGATCTAATGTTCTCCAGTTTTCAGTTCCCTTCATGAAGATTTTTCACAAGAAGCACTGAATAAGCCAGTTACTAGGATTTTCTGTACTGACGTTGTAGTCCATCAAAAGGTGTTTTTCAAATTGTCTACTAGACAATTTTCAGATGGATTTGAAAACTTTCATGATCTAAATGATTTCACTGTACTGGCAACAATTTGTGTCAAGTGTAAGGATTATTAAGTCTCTTCTTTGATTTCTCTTAGGCCTCAGCTGTATGTTTGCGAGCACCCGTCTCTGAATCCCTGTCCAGGTTACAGAGAGATCAGCTACAAAAGTTTGCTCAGTATCTTATTAGTGAGCTGCCTCAGCAGGTAAGGAATTATTCAAGAAGAGTCAAACTCTGCTGCCTATTTTCACAGAACATAGCTAAACCTTGTTTCCTCCATTTGTTGGTACGTTGGCCAGATTCTCCCAACGGCACAGCGGCTCCTTGATGAGTTACTTTCATCTCAGTCAACGGCGATCAACACAGTCTGTGGGGCTCCAGGTAATAGAGATTTGCCATTACTTGCATGGAAAATGTACAGCGAGGGGTTTGCTGGGAAGCTTGCTACTACTTAAGCTTTGTTATCCTGTTTAACAAATCAAATTAGATGCATGTACTGAGAAGGATCACAAAGGCTCTATACTTTGGAATTTTGTATTTAGCAGCCCAATTTTGTTTTTTCCAGAAGTGCCTTAACATTGAAATTAGTAAACCTGTTCTTGTGTCAGTGCTTGTAATTATTGCATCTTTCTAGTTTAAAGTATTGAATCATCCGCTTGTGGAATTACTGTGAATCTGTCCATCTGTCTGCCTCCTACTCTGAGACAGCTGACAAACCCAATGCATTGTTTGCTACCTTCCCACCTGCTCTCTTCTCCTAGCTTACTATTCTAGAGCAATATTGGCCAGCTCCGCCACTGTCTCACACTGCCGAAACCCTCATACACGCTTTCATCACATTAGGCTTGACTATGCAAATTCATAGTCCTTACTCCACACGCCTAATAATAATCCCTCCAAAACCAAAAACAGTAATAAATTGGTCATGTTCAATCTATGACTGTTTGTGGGACATTGCTGTGCGCAATTGGCTGCCGTGTTCGCCCACAAATATACAATCAATTCACTTTACAGTGTGTTCTGTGAAGCGCTTTGGGACGTCCTCCCGACGTGAAAAGCGCTATATCAAATGCAAGGATTATTATTATTATTGCTTGTCGGCCTCTCCAACTCCTCCCTCCATAGGCTGTAGATCATCCATAACTCTGCAGCCCGTGTCCTCTCCTGCACCAGGCTCCGTGACCCTATCACCCCCATCCTCACCTGACTCCACTTGCTTCCCATCACACATAGGATACAGTTCAAGATCCTGGTCCTCACCTTCAAAGCCCTCCATGGTCTTGGTCCCTCCTACCTCTGCGACCTCCTAACCCCCTACCAACCTGCCCGCTCCCTCTGCTTAGCAGCTCCGACCTGGTTCATGTCCCCCGCCATTGGCGGCAGGCCTTCTGCACTCTACCCCCACCCTCTGGAACTCGATCCTGCAGTCCCTCCGCCTTGCCCCTGCTTGCCTCCTTCAAGACCCATCTCAAAACCCTCCTCTTCTACCGTGCTTTCAATCACCCTCCTTCCCACTCTCCACCTTCCCCAATCCCGACCCCCAGCTCAGATCCAAAACGCTGACTGTCTAGCACTTTGGGATGTCCTTCCGACGTGAAAGGCGCTATATAAATGTAATTTTCTTTTGTTGTTGTGTTCTGAAGTGCTTGTCCCGGGCAGAGGAGAAGTAAAGCCTTTTAGAAAGCAGAGTAAAAGTCTGGAAAACTTTAGATTTAACTTCAAAATAAGTCAGAGAGAAAGAGACAGACTGCCTGCTATCGGTTTACCTTTTGAGGAGGATCATTAACTTAAATGTTATTATAGGTGGTAAAGGAGGTAATTGTACTATGGGGAGATTTGGGTATTAGAAGGACTGATCCTGAGGTGTTAGCAGTTGAATCAATATCTTTAGATACTTTACATATTGGTCTTCATCACCTTGTCACTCGAATTCTACGCGTAAATTGAGGGTGACTCCTGTCACCCATTTTCTAGAGATGGATGGACTGTGGTCCCTGCTGTGAATTAAGATGAAAAATAAGTAATGGCTATTTCTAAAAGAGTTTTCTAAAAGGGTTTACAAGCAGCAAAACCTCTTCTCGCCTTTTGCATCTTGTTTTCAATGAGTTGTGGTAATGCTTTGTTTTGCAACATTAGGTCACAATAGAAAACATTTGTCTTGAATTGTGTGTGCTTGTCTCTAATGGATGTAAAACTTTAAATTGCTATCGGCAGATCCAACTGCTGGGCCATCAGCTTCTGACCAGAGCACCTGGTACCTGGATGAATCTACGCTCAGTGACAATATAAAGAAAACCCTCCATAAATTCTGTGGCCCTTCTCCTGTTGTATTCAGGTAATTTATCATTTCAATCCTTTTTTCTGTTAATTTATCCTAGGTGTTTTTCACATTTGTTAAGGTCAGAATCCATTGATGTGTGCTACATGTTTTCGTCTGCTGCAAATGCAGTATGTTCTGATCGTCATTTCACCGCCAAAACGTTTAGATCCCCCCACCCCATCTGCATTTATTGGGTTAGGGGTCCACAGGTAATTGGCATTAACTTGCTCAGGACCTCAGTAAATTATAGATGGGTTTTTTGCTGTTGTGTACTGAACATGTTTACATAATGTCAGTTCTCAAGCAGTACATTTTCTGCAATAGTAATGTTTTACTGCTGTTGTTAGGGCAACAATGTGTTTGATTCCTCTGAGTAAGGTTACCATGGTTTCAATTTGTGTATTTTAAGTGTGTCCTGACCAACAATCTTTGAGATAAATTGGTCATTCATCTCAATGGTTGTATGTGGGAACTTGCAGCACAAATATCAGTGTGCCGTCTGGAATTAAATTAAGTCCCAACTACTGGAATGTTTTGCACTCAAAACTCTAGTAGTGTTGATTCATTATTGTGAGCAATGGCAATCTAGCATTAGAGCAGCAAAAGTTACTTTTTGCTCAACATCAAAAGAGGTTGCTTCTGCAGATGTCTGGAGGAAGTATCTCCCTCAACGGCATTGTGAGGGGAAACTGTTCTTGGCGTTAAAACTATGTCATGTTTTTTTTCTAACTGAGTGGCTCAACCCACCTGTACAGGTCAGCATCAGCAACTGGCTGACCTATATGCACCTTAACCACCAATGGGAAAGGCCTGGTAGCCACATGTGTGATTGTGAATATGAACTTTGAAGCACTACCATTGGGAGCTTGTGCAGTTTTTGTATTCTGGCTGGCATGAAATATGCTTTGTGATTTAAACAACATGGTATCTACAATGTCTGGGATCAGAGCCAGCTTTGTAGAACTGCTTCCTAATGTAGTTTTGCCAATGTAAGTGTGCTGTAAAATGAAGCCAAGTACCTGGAAGTCTACATAATTCAACAACACTTAATGGGCAATAATTTGGCTGTCTCTTGCCTAGAAGGCTTAAAGAATGGCATCTGCTTTTGTGAAACGTAGTAAAATGTATTGTTGGAGTGGACATAAAGAAGGTCCTTCTGAACTCCCTTTTAGATCTGATACTAGGGTTCTTATATTTATGCCTCCTCCTTTTGAATTCGCCAACAAGTAGAAACCAGCTATCAAAATAAAATTAAATTGGTCATTCACTCCAAAGCTATTTTTGGAACATTAGGATAATAATCCTTGCGTTTGATATAACAACTTATCACGTCTTCAAGACATCTCAAAGCACTTCGCAGAATACACTGACCATATATTTTGCGGGTGGAATGCAATGTACCATTATTGTGCTGCGTTTTGCCCCAAAATATGCAGTCAGTCCACCTCACAGTGAATGAATCAAGATATACTGTAAAGTGCTTTGGGACGTCTCAACGATGTGATAAGGCATTATATGGAATGTTGTTGTTGTTATCAAGGGCCACTGTATAGAATTTTCTACCAGCTACAGTGAAATTAACTGATCTGTTAATGAAGGAGTGACTGAACCATGGGGTGATGAAGGAAAGGTTTGAGCCCTGCCTCTTTCAGGTCCTGATCTAAGCTGCTTTGAATGGGGGTGGGTGGGAGAAGCTGATTACGGTTTGTGACCTTGTATGAAAACAGACAAAATAGACGTGGGACTCCTGAAGCAGACAATATGTCCATGAAAGGGAATCAGTAGGTACGATAGGGGAGGGAAGGGTCTATGTATTAAGAAAGAAACCTCATGGGCGATAAATCATTAGAAGTATTTGCTAACATTCAGCACAGCGATTCCTCACATGACCAAATTTAATATGTTGTCAAACTTGTTGTTAACTATGGTAGGAAGTGCTGATTATGACAGTTATGTTCCATATGATGATTGTAAATGTTGTGTTACCTCTGTGATGGGTGTAATGGTTTCAGTTCCTCTTGCAATAAAAATCTCATTGAAGGTCCTGCAATAAAATGAGAGAAACTACAGACTAAACCAAGCCATTAATTTGTAAGCACCACTTAATTTTTTTCAAGTGCATGATTTTTAAAATATTAATATAACCGTAGATTTTTTTAGGCAATATTTTTTTACGATATATACTGGATGGGTTGCAGTCAGATCTTTGGAAATCCTGCGACCTTTTTATTGAGATGATGTTTGATGGATGCATTTAAATTTCACATCAATATTTTGAGCACCTTTTAATTGTCTTGTTAAGATGGATACACAACACACAACAGTTTATTTGAATTGTTTTACATTGCAGTGATGTCAACTCCTTGTATCTGTCTTCAACTGAGCCACCAGCTGCGGCTGAGTGGGCTTGCCTCTTACGACCCCTTCGTGGAAGAGAGCCCGAAGGCATCTGGAATCTTTTATCAATTGTCCGAGAGATGTTCAAACGCCGTGATAGCAATGCAGCTCCCCTGCTTGAAATTCTTACAGATCAATGTTTGACTTACGAGCAGGTATGGTAATAGTTACTACAGTCCAATTTTCCTTATCCTGTTAAACCAACTTTATTGACATTGTCCATTCACTGCTTTGTAGAAATCAAAACTATAGGTCCAAAACTATATTTATATTCTGATGCTACGGTTTTGGAAAGGTGCCACTTTTCCCTGAGTGTCTTGTTGCAGCTCAGCTTTGTAAGTTACTTACCACAGGTATCATTATTTGTCTTGTACATCTTTTTGAATAAATATTATGTGGTAGTCCCATAAATCCAATTTTTGTTTCTCTCCTGAAATGATAGGGATGAGCAATGTAAGCTTATAAAGTCTCACTTCTAATTCCTTTCCTCCCTGTCCCAATTTGTAACGACCTTTATTTAAATCAACTGAAATGAGTCTCTATATCAGGACCAGGTTCATGCGTAATTATTTCAGTTCCAAAAAGAAAACCAAAATACTGACCATCTGTGGGTCATACTGTTCAAACAAGAAATAAATTCAGACTTCCTTGTCATTAAATAAAGTGATTGTTCCAGTGATTAGTAATGCAAGGTGACTGTGATGAATGTCAAAGTCGGTGCCCTGTTAAATGGACATTTGTATCTCACTATTCATTTGGATAATCTGAAGCAGGGATCTGTAAAACCTTACCACTTGTGTATATTTTGACTTTAGGAAGACTAGTAAAAAGCGTATGGCAGTGGTATGACAAGTCTTTATTATTAACTAACATGACAACCTGAAAGATTGACTGTTTAACCCCCTTTTCTTTTTGCCCCCTCCTCAGTCTGAAGAACAATCATTATACTTTTAATGTTTGTATTTTACTAAACCAATGAACGTAACTTTTTATCAGATTTCATTTTAATAGAAATCTGATAAAAAGAGATTCAATTTTTAATAGAGAAAAATAGCATTGAATTATTGAAGCCTTTTTGTTTTGCACCAAATCATAGCTCAAATTTGGGTTTAGTGGCAGGAGACCATGTGCATCAACTGGCTTATTATGTCAAAAAAAAGCTGAATCTTCATGTGATCATAATCACAATCTTGTCTTGTTAATCTTATGATTTCATCAATTTTAGGCAATCAATGCCTGTGGAAACTGATTGTGTTTTACTTCACTCAGCATATATTTTGAAGGTATCTAAATTCGGGTTTGCATAGTTTAAAATATTATATTAAAGGTCACCTTTATGGTAAAGTCTTAACTTCAGCAAATCTTATTCTCATTCTGTAGATTATTGGATGGTGGTACAGTGTCCGAACATCTGCTTCCCACAGCAGTGCCAGTGGTCATACAGGTCGCAGCAATGGCCAATCCGAAGTGGCAGCTCATGCCTGTGCCAGCATGTGTGATGAGATGGTGGTTTTGTGGAGATTAGCTGTTTTGGACCCTACTATGAGTCCTCAGAGGTAAATAAAGGCAAAAATTCTTTTATAAATGGGTTTGATGTTGAATTCATGATTTCTAGTTTTATAGGCAAAGAGTTGGGGATTGGGTTTAGTTCCAGTTTCAAGAAAGATGAACAGAAGAGTAATTAATAAATTTGAAGAGAGACCCAAATCATTATAGAAGGTGCTTTGACAATGCAAAACTCGAACTATATGGTCAGATGAGTTCTTAATGTGCAGTAGCTGCAGAATGTTTTCTGTTGAGTATGTGTGAACGCTTCTGAAAGTGGCATTTTATAAGTTCACAGCTGTTTCTGTATTGTTGATGAAGAGAATTGCCTCAATGGAATGACCCTTAATACAGTCTGATCCCGTTGATTTGACTATGCAGCTGTTTGGTGAAGCTCAGCAAATTTACACTTGATCTCACTTTCATGTGTCTGTTGCCAGGTTAAATTTCACAGTATACACTCAGCGTAATCAGGCCTTAGAGGGATTTAAAGAACCTGATCATAGTATCTGAAAGAGACAGATGGGCAAACTTTTCTTCCATGACCCTTTAACAGGCTTTAGTTTGGTCAGGTATAAAATATCACTTAATAAACAAGCGAAAAATGTTCAACCAATACATTGCCGCAAAATCTGCAAGTAGACTTTTGCTTTTAAATTGTTTTCTCACAAAATCCTAAATTGTTTGTTAAAATAATTATTTACTTTTAGTTCTCTGACATGTTATCTTTATATTCGCAGGAGGAAAGAACTCTGTTCACAGCTCAGGCAATGGCACTTGAAGGTGATAGAAATTGTCAAGAGAGGTCAGCATCGCAAGTCGCTGGATAAACTTTTTCAGGGTTTTAAACCAGGGATTGAAGCTTGCTATTTCAGCTGGGAAGAGGCGTTCCCTATTCCAGGCATCACCTACAATAGCGCTGAGAAAAAGAACACATTCTGCTGGGCAAAAGCCATGCAGCACAAAGCTACCAAGATCTGTGGAGAAATACAGAATGCTGAACCTAGCTGTGAGGCTGGTCGTACAACACCTAAGCCTCAAGGGCAGGAGGCTGCAGGCACAGCAATACAGTTTGCTGACAAAAGCAGAGGCTCGCAGGAAATTGCTGTTAGACCCAAGGATAGTATGATGAAAAGGAAAGCTACCTCTGATGCTTCTAGGAACAACGTGAGCAGATTGTCGTCCGAAGCTGACAAGCCTGTTTATAAGTTGAATACAAACAAGTGTAAACTACCTCAGGGGAAATGTTCCACCAGCAAACATTCAGGGAAAAGGAGGACAAGCAGTGAGGACAGCTCATTGGAACCAGACCTGGCAGAACTTGGTCTTGATGATGGCAATCTTGCACTAGGAGCAGAAGCTTGCAATACTTTTCTCTATGAAGATAGTCCAACCAGCAATTACAAGGATCTATATCATGATGAGAGTGAGGGTTTCTTTGTTGAGAATCTTGATAATGAGACGAACAATGTTGCTCCAAAGGGAGAAGGTAGAGAGGGTGTTGAGATGAGTAATGGGGAGGACGAGGCTCTTGCAGAAGTGAACTCTCAATCAAAAACATTGGGTCCACAAGCAGCAGATAGTCCTGCTGTAGGAGAGGATGACTATCAGGTCTATTACCTTAATCCTCAGGAAGTGGCTAAAGAGGAGGGAAAACAAGAGGGGAATAATGAAGAGGAGCAAGACATCTTTACTGGCTTAAAGCCACTTGAGCAAGAAAACAGAATGGAGGTAAATGCTGCTTGAAGTAAAAGTTCAGGAACTTTCCAATGACATAATGGTCAATGTACATTCTAGTGCAATACTAAGCTACATGAGCAAGGAGACCAGAAACATCCCAGTTCAATCTTTTGTTTGTATTACATTATCTGAAGTAACTTATTGCAGATGGAAAGTTGAACTGAGACCGTACTGCATATTAACATTGCTGAGGCAGCAGTGAGCGAGCTATAATTGGCTGTCCTTGGATTAGAGAAATTGTTTCGAGCCCCACACAGCCAAAACCGTTATCGGCTTTGATTTCAAGATCCTCTCACTCATTTTCAAATCCCTTCATGCCCACGCACCTCCCCAACTATCTGATTTGCATAACCCCAACTCCCCCAGCTGTTACATCTGCTTGGCCGGCCTCCTGCTCGTCCCTCATCCTTTCTACTCCACCATCGGTGGCCGTGCCTTCAACCATTGTTCCCCGAAACTCTGAAACTCTCTCCCTCAATCCCTCTGTTTTGCCCCCTCCCTCCCCACTTTGAAATCCTGCCAAAAGACATTCCTTTTTGACGTGCTTGCAGTCACCTCCCCCCTCCCTCTAGCCCTGGCTCAGGGTCAGACTCCACCACTGTTAAGCACTCCAAAATGCTACCCTGCTTTGTCTGAATTGTCAGCTGTGTTTGTTGGTACTTGTGAGTGTGTTAACACTTGTGTGTATATTTTTTTAAGGTCTTGTTTGCCTGTGCAGAAGCACTGTACGCTCATGGCTACCACAATGAAGCGTGTCGCCTGGCCGTTGACCTCGCTAGGGACCTGTTGGCTAATCCTCCTGACCTGAAAGTAGAGCAGCCACAAACAAAGGTGAATTTAAGTGCTCATATCCCATTGATTCGCACAGAAGCTGTTTTGGTTAACAAATTTATTTACAAGTGAAAGAAAAATTAACGCGAAACAAGTTCTCAAAAATGCAGTATTTATGAAATGTAGAAATTCTGCACTTGGGATGTAATTCAGTTTATTATATACATCTGAAATCCTGTGCAATGTCCATTAATAAAATATTTAAAAGATGTGAATGAACATGATGTGGACTGGATGTTTAAACTGTATGCTGCTATTTTGGTGATAGTATTTTTGAGTCTTGGAAATGCTTTCAGTCATCTGCCTAACCTGAAAAGTGCTGTATAAGTGTCAATTGTATTGTATTAAGATGTTAAATATTCATTTTACACCTAGTAAACCTAGTGCTGAAGTATGGCAGCCTAAATGATTACAGCATGCTCTCATTGTGCGTATTATCTGAGTTGCAGTTTTTGGTTATAACTGCACTTTATTTGCATTGTGTATTCTGGTTGCAAGGTATGTTTGCTTCAGTTGACATGTCAGAAAGACGAGATAAAATTCACGAGGATAAATTAAAGGAATCTGTTTTTGATGTCAACACCAAGATGTTGGACTTTTTAAAATTATTAAAAAAACTTTGATTTGTTCTTGCAGGGCAAAAAGAATAAAGTTTCGACTCACAAACAGACGCTAATTGCTACCAATACTCTTGCTAAAGCTGCCTTCTTGTTAATAGTCCTAAGTGAAAGGCAAGAGCTCCACAATCTAGCCTACTGTATAGGAATGTTTTCACTGGAACTGCAGCGACCACCAGCATCCACGAAGGCCCTGGAGGTGAGGGGAAAAATAATAATAGTCCTTGCATTTGATTTAATGCCTTTTCATGCCTTTGCGATAACTCAACATGGAAAACATTTTTCCTTTTTAATAGTTTTAAGATTGCAGTGCTGTCTTTATAGTCAAACTTACAATATTTTACAATTCACAAAATGCACCAACAATGACCTGTCTTTTCGGCTGCTTTACATTTGTCAATTTCTTTAAGCATGTGAAGAGTGTTGTATAAAGTACAAGTTGTTAAACACAAGTACTGGGAATGTGTGTATGTTGCCTTTCCAGGACTTTGTAAGTGTTTAATTACAGCTGATGAATATTACTAATACTAGATTAGACTCTTTGTTCCCTTCTGCATTTTCTGATTATATCAGCTATTGCAGCACCCATAGTAAATTCGTATGTACAAATCTGGGAGGCGAAAAATGTATCAGGAAATTCCAGTTCATGTTCAAAGAGCTAATTTATAAAAAAACTCCATATATTAGTGTCACCGATACATGTGGGAATTCATAGATTGGATATACCACCGTGCAAGTTTTTATAAGGAAATCAAACAATATCATTTTATTTGCCAGGATTCTCAAATTGTAAAACAAAAGCAAGCTCACCAGTCAAAGGGGAAAAATAATAGAAGCAGTTCAGATCAGACCATAACCAGTGTGTACATGTGGAAAATGCATCTCTGAAATAAAAATAGATATGTTGGAATTGAAAAGGAAATATAATCAGGTGTCCTTAATATATCCTTAATGTATCTGTAAGATGCCCATGCATTTCTAAATGTGTCCTTAGTTTTTTGTGTGATGAAATAGACTGAAACATAGTCTTAACCTTTATGTGATGATGCATGTGTACTAGTATACATCTTCACAGCACTTCACTGTTCCAGGTCAAGCTTGCCTACCAGGAATCAGAAATTGTGGCTTTGCTAAAGAAGATTCCACTAGGCATTAATGAGATGAATACTATTCGAGAAAGGGCGGAACAACTGAGGGAAGGAAACTTCTGTGATTACAGGCCTGTGCTGCCATTGATGCTGGCCAGCTTCATCTTTGATGTCTTGTGCACGCCAGGTAATGCTAAGACTCCAACAGTGAGTGTTCCTTCATTCTTATAGATCTACGTCAGTGAGCTTTTACTTTGAACGACTAGTGCAGAAAAATACTGTTTTTCAAACTCTACCTCTGCTCAGTTTCTTGTTGCGTTGAAATCAAGTCATCACACGATTTCTGTTTGCAACTTATTGTTTTCCATATTGTATATTGTGGAGGCTTGCTCAAGCTCCTTGCAATCTCCTTGCTTTTAAGCCCCGAGTTTAACATCAACTAAGCAAGTCATTTTCTAATATATTAGTGAGTGCTTGAGTGTAGGCACACACATATTAGATCAAGACTTTGGAATCAAGAGAGCGGAGGTTGAATTTTGGGAACAAGTATTTCATTTCTATGAATTTTATTTAAAAAGTGCCCAAGTTTCTCCAAGTACAATATCAGAAACAATAGCCAAATGAAACTGCGAGACCCATTTGTCTCTACAGTGGTTTCACCGACTGGATCGAGGCCTCCAAGCCGCAATCGCAATAATGAGATGCCGGGAGATGAGGAACTTGGCTTTGAAGCAGCTGTTGCTGCACTGGGTATGTAGACATTTCATTCTCCATATAATAATAATCCTTGCATTTGATATAGCGCTTTATCGCATCTTCGAGACGTCTCAAAGCACAGAATATACTCTATATTTTGTGGGCGAAATCTACTTGTAGCTAGTGGAACCATAAGAAGCTGAATATTTGACGGATTGTGAATGAATTTATACCAAACTATTTGGACCTGGCATCATATAAAGTTTCTTTAAATAAGTACCGAATCTGTCATTTTATAGTTTAATTTCCACATTATAGTGTTTTGTTTAAGCCTATTGAAGTTGGCCCATCGACTAATGAGTTGATTATGAGTAAATGGTTAATGTTGATATCTTGCAGCCAGTATCATTGGAGTTTATTATAACCTTGAAGCAGGACAAATGGTGTAGGCTCCCTGAGTTGTGGCCAGCACTCCTTTAGATTATATTAATTGGTTATTCAACCCCTGGCAGTTTGTGGTACATTACCTGTGCACATGCCTGCGGGTGTTTATAAGTGAGTCCACAAAACACAAAATCGTAAATGCTGCTGTAATTATTTGTGAAGTGTTTTGAGATATTTGATAAGACTTTATAAAAATGCAAGTTTCTTTGTTTCTTAAAGGTATGAAGACCACAGTAAGTGAGGCAGAGCACCCTTTGTTATGTGAAGGCACTCGGAGAGAAAAAGGAGATCTGGCTCTTGCTCTCATGATCACGTACAAAGACGATCAGGCTAAACTAAAAAAGGTACGGTGCCAACAGAGAGTTCAGTTCTTGGCCAAGATCAAGTGTAGTATGTCGTCCACCACCTCTCTGACGTTCACCCTCTCTCTCCCAACTCCCCCACCCACATTTTATAGTGGGGCCCAGACAGGTTTACCACAGCTTGAACCGTCACTCACCAAATAAGAAAAAGTTTTGAGTGATCAGTGTGTCCATTTATAATAAATTTGTATTACACTGGTGTCATGTTAAGATATGTCAGTAAAAATTAAAGGTTTAAAGAAAATTTTCAGTTGAAGTGTTATAGTGCTCTGAAATGGTACCCTACCTGAAGGGCATTGTATAAATACGAGTAGTAATTGTTGTTGTTTGTTTTAAATGTACGTAAACGTTACTATAGTTGATAAATAGATTTGAAAATCAGTCTTAATTCTGTAACAATGCTGATTTAGATGTGAGGTATTGTTGGACATTGTGGAAGTAGCACCAGAAGCATAATGAGAAAGAACTTTGCCCTAGTTTGTATGGACCATCATCACTTCTTTGCAGCAATGTTAGAAATGAGCATGTAATTGACAGGAGCAATCTGCATTTGAATGTTCTTTCTTAACATATCTGTCTGCATTCTTGATTTAAGAACAGAGCAACCACAAGCTAGTTCTGTCCCTGATCTGATCTAGTTTAGTTTTAAACGCGAAATGTGTTTTTCTCAAGATTTACTCCTCTGTGCACAGTATCCAAATTTCCTGCAGAGTGTGAATTTGTCTTCACATCTCTATATTTTAAATAAATTGATTCATTGAGAGTAAATGCCTAACTCCAGTGTGATTTTTATCTTCACACTAAGTCATCATGAATGATTCATGTTGGAACAAGGATGGCTGGAATTTGTTTTAAATGAGATGCAAATCATATTGACACCACCATGGCTAGCAGGGATAATGGGAGTTTACTGAAAAAACTGAATTTCTATCCAATTCATGGTTCAAATACTGTCAGAGGAGGAGAAAATAGTGCTTGCATGTTTTAGTGATTTATCGCTGGAGAATCCTGAGAGAATTTTGGGCAAATTGCAAAGTTTAATGTTTTATCATATCATCTTGTGAACTGAGTTTTCCCAGCCCTCTGTAGACTTTGCCTTCCTCCCAGGCCCAAAGAAGCACAGTCAGTAACCTGCATTGAACTCCCAAGGATTAATTGTCACTTCTGTGATGTGTCTAAGCTTTGTGTTCTACTGTTAAAAATTTCAAATTCTTTAACATAGTTGCATTATTACTGGAGGTTTATTGAAAGGGATGCATGTTTTTTGACCACTTTATATCTATTGTTGTTTCGTGAGTAGGATTTTCTTATTTGTAGAGAAACCTGATCTCATTGCGCTGGACATTGTCTACAGATTCTGGACAAGCTGTTGGACCGAGAGAGTACAACTCATAAGCCTCAGACGCTGAGCTCCTTTTACTCTTCGAGTAAACCGCAAGCATCCAGTCAGAAATCTCCATCGAAACATGCTTCTCAGGCAGCTTCCAACGTTCAGCAAATAGCAAGCACGTCTGCACCTCAGCAAGCTAGTGTGACTGCTCCTATTCCCAGCACGCCAGCAGAGAGCTTCCAAGAAGGAACCACCCAGGGTATGAACTCCATTTTGTTTCTTTTGCAAATTATCTGGTTCCGAAAAGATTTTAACTTTTTAATATATATATATTATAATACGATAGCCAATAGCAGATGTAAAAGGGAGTTTAGGAGGAGCTGTATTTATGCAAAGAGTGGTGAGAACGTGGAGCTCACTGTTGAAAGCTGTGATTCGAGCTGAAAGCATCAATATTTAAGAGGAAACTTGATGCATACAAGAAGGCGAAGGGAATAAAGTGGAATGTAAGAGGGATGGGAGCTCATGTGCCATATAAAACACTGAACAGCCTGTTTCCGTGTCGTATAATTCTAAGTAAATACAGTACAATATCTTTGACTATAACAATGCTGCATCATGTCTTCGACCTCTGCCCAAATATCATTCTCTGTACAGCAAAGAACAATGGGCTTGAGCATTCATTGACGTTAAGAGCATAAATAGTGCAATGTACTAACTAATAATCAACAAGCCCTGTGTGTATATGTGTAGGCAGAGCCTCTCTTGTGTCTTGTCTGCCAGAGTTCATCTCATGGCTTGCCCTTTGGAAGAACTGTCAGGCTAGCTCGAACAAGTACGTCGTGAGCCAAATGAAATGTCCTGTGAGCTCTCTGGAGACTGTTCTTGGAACAACTCTTCTGAATAATTTAGAAGGTTACAAGACTCAAATAAAACGATCTACCAGTCCAATTTTGACTTGCAGTTCTTCAGTTGTAAAATACTAATTCAGCTAAAAGAATTGGTAATCGACTATGAGTATATATACCAGTTAATTAAGTGGTCTAATTAATATCAAATCGTTGGGTACACTGAGACCTAAGGTGAGCAGAGCAACCTACCATGAATACAGTAATTTAAATGGGTGATCTTACCATCAATGGCCCTTGATCTGAATTCCTTGCAATTTTAATGATAGACTATTTTAGTCATTTCCGTAATGTAGAAGTTTAACTATTGAATGCTGTCCGTATTGCTGGAAGAAAAGGCTTACATAAACTGATCTTCCACACAGTCAGGTGCAAAAATTCCTTCCAAAAGCTTCCCTGAATCTTATCGACCTCACCACTTCATAAAAAGGGAAAGAGAAGGAATGTAGATACTGAAATCCTAATTCTTTGTATTAGTTTAATTTTTTTGTCTAAGGAGACTAGGGAAAGTGAAATCCATCTACAGGACATACTGCAGGGTTTTAATCTACAAATATTGGGTAGATTGTAGGTTTTGTAAGAAAATTACAGTAGGACTATCTTGTAACATAAATGTAAACTGGTTTTCTCTTTACGTAAAACTCTTGGTCTTTAATTATTTAAAGTTTACTCCCAGCTGCTCTTTAATATAAACCTGTTCTGTGTGAATGATCTTCACATGTAAATTTTACACAAAGCTAATCACATTCAATATCTCTGCTCAAAACTGATCCAGAGATGCTCTAGATTCATAGTCTCATTTGTATTTAAAACGATCAGATGTGCATTGAATTGAAGTTTTAAGCTTGTAGAGACTACGTACTTCATTTAAAATCCATAAATGAATCTAGGATGGTGAGCTCCTTGATTCATTATGTCATCTCACCTTGCCCATAATAATAGATTTTCAATGCAATATTTTATGGCCTTAGAATGAAACTCTTGAAGAGCATTCTGTGTGTTTTGGTTGGAAGTGAAATCAAGGCCTATGTCAGGGCTAAGATCTTTTCAACTTCAAGACCTCTGTATGTAAATCAAGAGTCAGTCAGGATTCGGAGCACGCTGTCCCGTTTCCAGCGGAAGAAATGTGTCATGATGGAGGAAAAGGAAATGAAAATGTTTGGAACAGAATTGGGCCGAATCCCAATTTGATTTCCCGTGATGTAAGGGCAAAGCACCTTTGATCTGTACAATGTTTGAAATGTGAATGAGAATTTTGTGAGATTTCAGAAAAGGAACAGTTGCATCACTGTTGTATCAGTACGTTATGCTTTTTTTGAATGTGGGGAGGCTGGGTGATTTAAATTGCACTGCATTGAGACTAGATTATAGGCTGTTTGTGTCTGATTTCAATATCCACAGGCTAAGGTTCCCATTGGAGTTCTTGTACAGAATACATTCCTATTAACTGTTCCATCAACGTCTGCGCTAATTAAGGTTAGAGAGGGAGTCAAGTGAGGTGCTTTAGGGATAGGAGAAGAATTGCAATATACCACAGTGTCCAAATTTGTACTTTAAAAAAAAGTATTAAATTTGTGGGGGGGAGAAAGAAGATGTTATTGTAGTAAGGTATCCAAAGGTAAGGTATCAACTGTTAACAAATTGAACACAAATCCTGACAGCTCTTTTCTTCCAGTGTATGTTTCTGAGGTCTTGCATGAAGAGACTTTGTGTCGCTTTTATTTTACTGTCTTGTTTTTTATTTTGTGCGTAGAGAATACTCAGCGAGCCTCCAACGAGCCTGTCAATGAATCTAGCACGTTCAAACAAGAGGGGAAAATACCAAGCCGATTGACGCTCGGGAGCAGAGGTGGATATAATGGCAGGTGTTGGGGGTCACCAGTAAGACAGAAGAAAAAGCACACGGGTAACTATGAGCTTGAAGATGGATTATTCAATCTTTTATTTCTGAATGCAATCTGTATTGCTTCTAATTGGATTTGGCTTCTAGTATTTTGTATCCTGCTTGATTTATCACTTTAAGTGAATCTGATCCATCCTTCCAGAGTACCTACCTACTCTACCGTCTTCCCACCTCAGGATCAAGGTTTTTTTTAAAATGAATTCAGTGTTCTGGCCTCAATCACCTTTCTTGGTAGCCCTGTTCCAATTGTTAATTGCTTTCGTAGTAAATAAATGCTTCCTGGAGTCTGTCCTGAAATTGCCCTTTGCCACTATGTTCTTTAGTTCTGTTGTATTGGTACATTCAAAAGTGTTGTCCTGCATTTACTTTTTCAATCCCATTAAAATTGTTATACGCCTCCTACAAGGGGCACTCTGAGACCTTCACAAAATCTGGCATTGATGTGTCTGCATGTCATCTCTGCCACGTATATTTATGGCTGGTTTAAAAAGGTATGAGATCTGCAGAATAATTACTGCAGACCTGAGTCTTAATACCTAGAATGCCACTTAATGAAATTGGCCTGGATTCAGCTGCAATTCTGCCACCTTGTGCACATTATGAAGTACTGCACCTCATAATGTTTCCATCTGGTTCTTTCCTCCCAGCAAAGTTGTGCAATGCTGTCATCGATGAGCAGCAATCTGACTATTGATTTTATAGCTGAAACTGAATATGATGGCAATTTTCTGTGACTTTACTACACGCTAAATAAATGCAGGAGGCTTGCAGGTTGGAGCCCGAAGTGATTTTCATCCTACAAGGTGGGGCTGGATTTCAATCTCTGCTCCAGTTATGTGAAAGAATGTGTGCTCTCTGACTCGCTACATACATTCTTCATAATTGTAGTTGCTCCACTACACTGCAGAGTCTCTCTACAGTTACTCAAAATATCCAATCTTTTCTTTGAAGTCTGGCTCATCTGGTAGTTTCATAGCTGGCAACGCTGATCAATCTAGGCTGAAACTCCAGTGCAGAATTCTGCATTTTCACAGGTGACGTATTTTAAACGGGTTGAAGTCCTGGAGGTTAGAGATACTATGGCACGATTCAAAAAGAGACTTAAGCCGTTTAAATTAATTGTACTTTCATCTCATTGATGTTTGCGGGACTCTAACTGGGGCAAATGGCTGCAGATTTTACCTATAAAAGGCCACTATACTTGAAGATAATGACCAGCTTTGGGAAGCATCAACATAAGGTGCTACAGTGCAAGTTATTTATTTGGCTTCTCTTTTACGTGAGCATTTTATTTCCTGAAGGTATGGCCAGCATTGACAGCAGTGCTCCTGAGACCACCTCGGACAGCTCTCCCACCCTGAGTCGCCGACCCCTGCGTGGAGGTTGGACAGCAACCTCTTGGGGCAGAGGGCAGGACAGCGACAGTATCAGCAGCTCCTCAAGCGATTCTCTGGGATCCTCCTCGTCCAGCGGCAGCCGAAGAGCAAGTGGAGGAGCTCGCACCAAAAGCACCGACGTTGGGAGGTAACTTGTGCAAGCTGTTCAAAGGACTTCCATCTGTATTGGTCTGTGGAAGCGCCGTTGCCTTTCAAGTTGATTGCAGTTGCCCCATTGCACTGCAAAGTCTCTACAGTTCCCTAAAATATCCAATCTCTTCTTTGAAGCCTGGCTCATCTGGATTTTCATAGGTGGCAACGCTGATCAATTTAGGCTAAAATTCCAGTGCAATCAAGAAACCGGAAATTACTGATACTGCTCTGATGTGGGAAACTTGCTGCTAAATGTGACCCTGACGTAAGACAGTCATAATGTGGCCTTTTCTGTGCAAATGCTATAAAATCAGCAGCTCTTTTTATTTGAATCTAAATGTATTGAATTTAAGGGTCCAATTTATTTAAAAAAACTTTTCTCATGCACACACCTACGTTGAGCATTGTAGGCAACTCTGTTATTGTGTCCTGCAGAGATTACAGAAGCCAGTTTCTTTCTGTTTCAGATATAAAGGCAGGCGCCCAGAGTGTCATGTTCCCCATGTGCCCAACCAGCCGTCCGAAGCAGCAGCACATTTCTACTTTGAACTTGCAAAGACAGTCCTTATTAAAGCTGGTGGCAATAGCAGCACATCCATCTTCACTCACCCGTCAGCCAGCGGGGGTCACCAGGGACCCCAGCGCAACCTCCACCTCTGTGCGTTTGAGATCGGGCTGTACGCACTCGGCCTACACAACTTTGTATCCCCAAACTGGCTCTCTAGAACATATTCCTCGCATGTCTCCTGGATTACAGGTATGAAAAAATAAAACACTCTTAGCTTCCTTTTCCCAGAATATTGTAGCCTAACTTATGTCCAATGGTGAACTGTCAAAGAGAAAAAAAAAAAAAAATTCTGGCTAAATGTTGACTTTAAATATTCCATTTGCACCCAAAGATTTGTTAATGTGTGTCCCTCTGTGCTGAAGCGCTCAGTTACAGCAATGTGAGCTGTATCTCCCAATTCAATACTGATGGACAAGAAAATTACAGGCCTGAGCCCCTGCAGATCTCTGACAAAGTTTGTCACTAAATAGGTAGGGACATTGTCACATTTGTTCCTTTTTTGCAGAATGTCCTGGTAACGAACTCTAAAACTCTGTTTGAACCCAATAGGACAGGCAATGGAGATTGGTAGTGCAGCGTTGAATATTTTGGTGGAATGTTGGGATGGACATCTCACTCCTCCAGAAGTTGCATCTTTAGCAGATCGTGCGTCTCGTGCCCGGGACCTTAACATGGTCCGAGCAGCAGCAGAGTTGGCTTTGAGTTGTCTACCCCATGCCCATGCTCTGAACCCAAACGAAATCCAAAGAGCATTGGTTCAATGCAAGGAGCAGGTATGTGTTGTTCTTCACACTAACATCAGAGTCACTGAACTTAGAATTCCAAATAAATTCAAACTGAGTGATCAATGTTTAAAACAAACAGGGTTAATGCTGTGTAGCACCTAAATGTTATGCTTTTACTTGAGTATTTAGTGTTGAGAGACTTGTAAATCAGTAAACTATTTTAACAGCATGAACATTCCTTTATTTACATTTTTAGCGCCTTGGGACATCCTCCCGACGTGAAAGACACTATACAAATGTAATCTTGTTGTTAAAGCAGGAAGGAGAACAGTCTGAAGAGACTTTCTGTTTCAGAACTAGAAGAACAAATATTTATCATAAATATGTAATTTTAGTGAGAAATCTGGAGCCTGATTCCATCATTCCTCAAATGTATTCCTCTAGATTTTTTTCTTTCATTTTAGATCAACCTAATTTTGGAGTTTCTAGCTAGAAGGAGACGTAAAGATTTATCCTGATTGGTAAAAGTCTTGGTTCCATTTAAGGATGGTACTGTAATTTATAATCTCGGCACTTGTACATTTGATTTTCTTTATAAATCCAACACTTGCATTCTCCCTGATCTTCAAAGGATAACACGATGCTGGAGAAGGCTTGCATGGCAGTTGAGGAAGCAGCGAAAGGTGGGGGTGTTTACCCAGAGGTTCTTTTCGAGGTGGCGCATCAGTGGTATTGGCTTTACGAACAAACGGTAGGCGGATCCCAGCAGCAGAGAGACGGATCGGGAGGTGGCCGTGGATCTCATGACCTGAGCAGGGGGACTGCAGAAAGCCTTGGTCTAACTGAGGGATCAGCTACCGTCACGGTGGCGGCCACAGTAACAGCAGCGGCAGTCATGCCTGTCATCACTGTTGGGTCCACCATGTACCAACCGCATGCCATAGCTGGAACAGCAATCGCACATCCCCACACCCAGGGCTTTGTAACCAGTCCTGCAATGACTCACCCGTACACTACCATCCAAACACACATACCTGTCTGTAATCCTGCGTTTCTTGGACACCCGATACAGCATGTGCCTCGACCTACTGTTTTCCCTGTTCCTGGAGCGGCTTATCCACAGGTAATTCTGTGCAGTGTAATGCAGGTTGTGAAAGTGTCTTTTTTTTTAAAAAAATTGTTTGTGTATGAAAGGATTGATTGAAAATTTGCAGAGCAGATCCCAAATGCATATAATGGTTTTAAATATAACTCAGTTTCTACCTACTGTATTCTATACTCAATAAAGAAGCCAGATCTTTCAAATTTGTCCACAAGCTGCAAATTGTGAGGAGAAATATGGCTAAACATTTTAAATCATGGAGATGTCTGACTAATTGAGAGTTTGGCACATGTATACTGCCTACACATGGATATTTCCCAGTCTGGAATGGAATGCTCACTTTCTCACAAGAGGGATATAAACTGCTTATCTAATTACCTATATGATTATCAACTTATGCAGCAGTTGATTTAAAGTGTACATGTTTTAACTTGTTTTCTTCTGCATGAAAGTTGCTAAATATAAAAATGCAAGTTGACATTGTTATTAAGTTTTGATATGGGTTTGGGCTTCAGATTATTCTTATTCGTTGGACACATTGAAAAAGACCTTGGCTTCAGCCAAAAAGGCACCATAACATTAATGAAATGGGGGAATAATCTCAATGTTGGGGGGGAATAGTAAATTAATGCAAGAAGGACCACAGCACATTTAGGAACACAGAATGGGAGGAAGATATTCAATCCATTGAGCCTGTTCCACAAATTTATTGAATTTTAGAAGATCTTTTAATCTTCTTGGCCCCAACTTTTAGCCATAGCCCTGAAAACTTCTACTTCCCAAGTATCTCTCGCTCTAAGACATTCCTATTTGTTTCTGACTGACTTAAACTAGTTATTTTGAATAACCTGACTCCAAGGGTGAAGGTGGTGAACTTGTACAAACCTTTTCAGATGCTTCATCTTGAACGTTGCTTAAAAAATGTTGCTTTATTATGAATCAGGTAGTTTCTTTGGATCAATTTTGAGTTTTCAGTTTTGTGAGTTTCTATGTACGGGTATGTCCAGCACTCCTATCTTGTACAACATTGGGAAAAGGAACATACATGTCTGTGGATTATTTCTAGCATTCCAAATATAAGAGACAAAGATAATAAGCCTTGAATTTGATATAGCGCTTTTCACGTCTTCTAGACGTCTCAAAGCGCTTCACAGAATATGCTGTAAAGAGATTACTGAAAGACCAAAATTTGTATGTAAAAGAGAAGGGAAACCTATGAGAATTGGTACTTTAAGTTGACCAGTGTGCATTTGCCTGAAGGCTGATATTCACTACGTATACCATATGCATGAACTCATTGCATATACGCAGTGAAAGTAAGCAGTGTTCTTATTTGTTTAATGAGTAATAATATAATAATAATTATTATTTGTTTAGGGAGTACACCCGGCATTCATTGGAGCTCAGTATCCTTATACAGTCGCAACCACAACTCATCCATCTATGGCTGCTGCACCAGTGACGTTCACAGGAGTTCCTGTGCCGACTATGGCATCAATGGCAGTACATCCGTATACATCGGAGCCGAGCATTCCGCTCACCTCAACTGTAGCAGGTAGGTCAGCTCTTTGAATTCTCACAAGGCTTTGGTAAACCTGCTAAAATGCAGAAAGCATAACCCTGCGGTAGTTGCCGTTACTTAGCGCTCTGATCTTCCAATCAACATTTGCTGAGTTTGCTCTTTCTCAGCAGATCTCAGTGGCACGCTGTAGCTGTGAGAGATGTAGGAATGGAGTTAGAGCCTGACAAGTGTATCTTGTTTTCCACCAAGGGCTCCCTCTGGTGAATTTGTTATTCCATCGCACAGATCTGAAGTACAATGTTTAACCACCCTTTTAATCTTTTTTGCATTTGATGTAACACTTGTAATGTTAACGGGTCTCAGAAATGCTTCACAGATAATTGCTGTCAGATGCAGTGACTATCTTATCTTTAACCGTTCCCTTGGAAGGCAGATTCTGTAAAGGAAGGAGCTCTTGAAGCTAAATATTTCAGAATAAACTTGTCTAAAATTATCTAAAGACATAGATAATCTTTCTCCCCCCCCCCGATAATCCTGATAATGATCTTTTAAAAAAAAGTACAAGAAAGTACAATTCGTAGAACAGGTTAATTAATATTGTCATGATTAGTGACTTTTTAAAAGATTAAAATCTATAAATTCGCAAAGCCACTTTGCAAAGCATTACAAAGCATGCCGGTGTTAGGCCAGTATTCTTAGGTCTGAAAGTTAATCAGCTTTAACTCAATTGTAGTAACTCAATTGCTAATTTGCTAAATGCTATTTATAGCACTTTATAGTATCTAAAGTGTTAGGTTTATAGCACAGCTCGCAGGGAGTTCCTGATATCTACCATCCACCTCGAGGGTTCAAACCCGCCCTTATCGGATGTCAAACGACCAACTTATGACCAAAGGCTGGAGTTCGGCCTTCCTGGATGAGCAAACCATGCACTCGCTCTCACACAAACTCTAACTGCCCTGAACCACTAAAGTGAAACTCAGTTATACTCCTTTATATCATGGTTGTTTCCTTCAGGCCAATCAGTGCACATCAGTCTTGGGCAGCCTCCCATTAAACAACAGGTCCGTATAGCAGCAAATAATTCATGACACAACAGACGCAACAAACTACAGCTGTAGTATTTCGTTCCGCACATATCGTGGTGAATGTGTTCTCTCTATAGTTGCCAGTGTACAGGCTGGATCCACTTTCCAGACCATTCAAGGAGCAACGTTGCCTGCCTTAACACCACAAGGCACTTCTATAGTCGCCTCAACGTTTCCCACAGAGGATGAACACTCTCAACCAGTAAGCCCTCAAGGGCTCCACTACTTGCATTCAGCTTACAGAGTTGGTAAGTGAATACATTCAACTAATCCTACCTCCACATCACTGTCTAAATATATACTGCACTATTCCACTGTGTGGTTTAAAAAATGATGTGCTCATTGGGCTAAATCTGTCCCTAAATAAATATAAAGGTTATATTTTCCTGTACTTCTGGAGAAGAGTTATGTAGATTAGATGAAAAAATGGGCCTGGGATGATCTAAAAGCCAGGTAGACTTGACTAAATCCATTTTAGATGTCTTCAGATAGTTTGCCTACAAAACAGTCACTCCAGTTTAGATGGTATATCCTGTGAAGTGCTTTGAATTGTTCTTCCGGCATGAAAGGTGCTGTCAACTTTAAGGATTATTATAGTTTTGGGTTACTTTGCTGAAATGCCAGTCAGTGAGTTGATGATTGACACGATTAAGATTTGTTTTCAGTGGACAATAAGACTGGTTTGTGTTTTCTAAACTTGTTCCTGCAGTAATTTCTGAAACTGCTGGTCTTTTATTTTACAGGAATGTTGGCCTTGGAAATGCTTGGCCGAAGAGCTCATAACGACCACCCAAATAATTACTTCTCCAGGAGCCCTCCTTATACGGAGGATGTGAAATGGCTGTTAGGACTAGCAACAAGATTGGGTAAGGAAAGATTTGTTTTATGTGATGGAATTGGAACAGTTCCTGTAATTTGAAACACAAAGAAAATAAATAGAAGATTTAGGACTCTTCAAAAGTATATGCTTTTAACCAGAATTAACCCTTTTTTATCCAATTTCTAGAGTTTATGCCCAGTGAATGCATGTAAAATTATTGTAATTTAAATTGGATGCCCAAGTGATTCAGGTTAACCTGAAGAGCTAATGCAGATCAAATCTGTAGAAAAGTAGGAGGAGAGTTGAAACTACAGGGTGACCAAAAAGTCTCAATAACTACCGTATTATCTTAAAAAAATCATTTCTTTAAGACTTGTAAGACATTGTAATGGTATCATGACTTTTTGGTCACTCTATACATTGAAACTGATAATTTGTCACCCCAAGTGAAATCGCTCAAATGACTAATCAGAATTGACTAACAACAATAACTTACATTTGTATAGTACCTTTCATGTCAGGAGGACGTCTCAAGGTGCTGGGCAGTCAGGGATCCGCACCCGAACTGGTGGTTGGGATCAGGAGGGGCAGGAGGGGGATCAAAGGCACGGTCGAAGAGGAGGTTCTTGAGACTAGTCTTGTAGGAATCGAGCAAAGGGCCAAGGCGGAGGGACTGTGGGATGGAGTTCCAGAGAGTTGGGGCAGAGAGGCTGAAGACGAGTTATCCAAAGTACAGTATCTAGAAAGTACTCGAATAGGCAACAACAAACAACAACAAAATTACATTTATAAAGTAACTTTCATGTCAGGAGGACGTCCCAAAGCGCTGGACAGTCAGGGATCAGGACCCGAGCAAGGGGGAAGGATGGGGTGAGGGATCTCGACTGAGTGGTAGTTAGGTGGGGTGACTAGTTTAATCCAGGGACTAGTTCTCCGAGTTTTGCTGTAACTGTTGTATACATCCTAATGTTCTTGTGAGACTGGAGTTGATTTGCTGAGGATATACTCAGACTTGTACCAGTGTTAGATTACAATACAAAATTACAATTGTATCGCACCTTTCATGTCGGGAGGACGTCCTAAGGCGCAGTGGAGAATGCAATTACCTGTGCAGAATGCAATCTATTGCTGTGAGACAATGTTGCTGTTCATGTACTTCACAGTACTGATTGCTTTCAGCTGAGTGGTAAGCCAGGATCAATGGTGCGATAAATTTGTGCATTGGTAGCTCTGAGGATCTGAGGATTCATTACTTAAACTCCAGAGGTCATCTTCCTATTAGATGGTACACACCTGATAAATGATAAACCTCACACTTTGCTCAATGAACCTATAAAACCTTTGGGCAGAATAAAACAATCGATAGCTGGAGGGGGGTGTGGAAGAAGCAGAGAATGCGTATAGAGCCTTTATAAGAGGTACACATATTTATCTAGGTGAGCAAATATCTGAGGTCACTCTTCTTTAATTGTGTAATTGTACTCAATTCTTCAGTTTTTAGAGCAATTGATTGTGTTGTCTTCTTGTAGAATTGAAGCTAGCCATTGCACTGCAGCACACAGTGGGGCTCCAGGAGGTCACCAGGCCTGCCACCTCACAGACGCATGGAGAACACACACATTCACAGATGAGGAGAGAGAGACACACACACTCAATCACTCACTCACAAACCCAGAGAGACTCACGGAGACACACACTCGCAGACGCAAACACACACACACACAATCAACAACAGGGCCTCGGGGTGAGCGAGACCCATGTCCTGCTCGCGCTGCATGCTCGTCCAGAGCCGCTTTGCCAACAGTAGCAGCAGTTGTTTGTATTCTGTGTAGTGTTATGTATATACACCCTCCCCCACTCTTAAGTACTCTGAGACCCTACCCTGGGTGGAGGGCGCTATGTAAGTGCAAGTTTATACCTGTGGGGGCTGTGTTCACTTCAGTTTCCACCCCTCAGCATTTTAGTTGCATATATTATGTATTTTGGTAGCGATTAGATGTAATGTCAGTGAACAAATGTATAACTGACCTCCTAAAGTGGTATAAGCCACCAGTGGATGACCATTCTGAAATATTAGTACAAATATTTTTTTTAATATTTAATATTTCAAATATTGGTCTGCATGAAGAAAGTCCTTAGTCCCATCCAATCTCAGCCCTCCTGAACACCCACCCTAGCATTCACGAATGACTATCTAATTCCTTTTGAAATGTACTAACACAGTGAGATGAATATTCTGCCAACATGGTCTGTCATTACAGTAGATTCAAAAGAAACATTTTAATTTGTAGACTGGAAAAATAAACTTCTTAATGTGTTAAACCTGTTGTAAGATAAATTGTTACTTATGTTAACTGTGAATTATGTGTGCTAGTGCAGTAAAATGTTGTAAAGCATGCAACTGTTTCCAATGCTGGTGTATCTTTGCTGAGTTCAGAGTGCTCTATGACTGCTGTTGTGTAGTTAATGGAATAATAATGTGGAGAAATGTTCTTCTCTTGTGTCATTAGGTGTAAACTATGTCTATCAGTTCTGCATGGGTGCAGCCAAAGGAGTTCTGAGTCCATTTGTACTGCAGGAAATAATCATGGAAGCTTTGCAGCGCCTTAATCCTGCTCATGTACATGCTCATCTCCGAACCCCAGCCTTCCATCAGCTTGTTCAGAGATGCCAGCAGGCGTACATGCAGGTAACATAAATGTGCAGAATGAAAAATATATTGCTCCACATAAATTTGGATTATTGTATTGCTCCACACAACTTGACATTTCTTAAATAACGTGTTCAGCTGTATATGTGATGACCAAGGCCAACTGTGGTTAAAATTGCTGGAAAATTTGATAAAGTTTGTGGGGAAATTGCATGGAGTTGATTGGTGCCATTGAGAAGTACATTTTGACCTACATTTTTTCACTTTATTGATTTAAAAACTAAACATGAAGGAATAACACCCATTAGATTATTGCAAAAAAACAATTAATGCCTTCTTTAACTAACCTGGGTGGCCCACTCAGTTATGGGGTGGGAGGGGATGAGAATTAGTCCTGAAAGTGGGGTTCCAGGAGGTCACCAGGCCTGCCACCTCACAGATGCACGGAGACCACACACATTCACAGATGAGGAGAGAGACACACACACTCAATCACTTACTCAAAAACCCAGAGCGACTCACACTCGCAGACGCAAACACACAATCACAACAACGGGGCCTCGGGGTGAGCGAGACCCATGTCCCGCTCGCACTGCATGCATGTCCAGAGCAGCTTTGCCAACAGTAGCAGCAGTTGTTTGTATTCTGTGTAGTGTTATGTATATACACCCTCCCCCACTCTTAAGTACTCTGAGACCCTACCCTGGGTGGAGGGCGCTATGTAAGTGCAAGTTTATACCTGTGGGGGCTGTGTTCACTTCAGTTTTCTCCCCTCAGCAATTTAGTTGCATATATTATGTATTTTGGTAGCGATTAGATGTAATGTCAGTGAGCAAATGTATATTACTGAATGTGTTTCAAGCTGTCAATCATTTTTACAGAAAGCTGCATCTGATGTATTTGCACATTGAATTTTTTTTTCCAGTGTATCCAGTACCGATTATACCATATTGCTCCGGCAGATTATGATGACTTCGTAAATATCATCCGAAGTGCCCGTAGTGCATTCTGCTTAACTCCAGTTGGAATGATGCAGTTCAATGAAATCCTTCAGAATTTAAAACGAGCAAAGGGTCAAACTAAGGACTTGTGGCAAAGAATCTCACTGGAAATGGCTACATTCTCTCCTTGATGTCTGTTATTGGTTTGTGCAGGTTTAGGTTTATTTTTCCCCCTCCTTTAACCACTGAACTTGTATTCTCTACTACTACATTCCTCTTCCACTGAACTTATAATTGTCAGAAAACAAGAAGGTCCAACTTTGTTGGTGCGCAGAGTGTAATCTGACATTCACATCCCAGATTCCACTAGTGCCCAATCTTTCCTGCCCCTCCCCTTGACTTTTGTATGAAAGTTAAAATATTCATGTATATGTCTAACTGTTTAAAGGGGGTGTGTTGCTGGATACAGTGTGACTCGGTAAACTGACCAGCTTGAGGAGCCAAGTGACCTCCGATAGATGAACAAAGTCGCACCAAAATGAAGGTCTGAATACCACCTCTGCCCTGTATAGATTGTGATTTTTAATTTATCTGTTTTGCCTTAGTTTCTTCAATATTTTTTTCATATTTTAAAGGGTTTCAATTGTTTAAAACAAAACTTGTATATTCAGATTCCAGAAAACTAAGTACTGGGATAAGTTAAGAGCTTTGACACATTTTTCAGTGTTACAGATCAGATGAAGTGCAACTGTAGTTTACTCCACTGACCACATTGTATTTCTGTCCTCATGCAATCTGTTAATATTTTTAATCTTTTTGTGCAGTCTCATGTTCCTGTAAAGTTGATGGTTCTGAAGGCTACACAGGGTAGCTCTGCTGTCTGTGTAAGAAATACTTGCATGACATTTGTGTGAGTAGTTTTGTTGACAACAAAACTTTTATTCAACCGTTCTGTGCTGTGTTGAGTACATACAATTATTTTTGATTAAAGCACACAACAAAACTGCAGTACTCTGCTGTTAAAGGCCTATGTTAAATGCTTGGCTTTGGAATGGAGATGTTCAGATTGAAGATAACAGATCAAGAAAGGTAAAATCTTACCATTGATTTTTATATTTGTTTTTTGGTTTTCTTTCACAGTTGAGTGGGGAAATAATGCAGGCACATTTTGGCTGGGTAGTTTCCAACAGTACAGTTTTGTTGACCAGCCCGCAATGTATTTAAGGCCTTGCAAAGTACTACATTCACAATCAACCACAAAAGTTACACCAAAAAAACTCCACTTAATCCACTGCATGTTGCATTTCAGAAAATATGTTCAGCCTCTTGAGAGTAAAATTCTCCAATAATATCATTCAATGTGAATGACACAATAGGTGAGTCGTATTGTGAGATGAAACGGGTCAAAGATGATACTGCTCTAGACTTTCTTCTGTGTGAGACAAATGAAAACAAGCAGGAAGACTTCACCTTAGCCCATTTAAAAAAACAATTAATTTGTGGTTGCTTCCTAATTTTTTTACAGTAGACTGGTAGAAAGGTCACTAACACTGATAAAACTAAAGTTGAAGTTTGTAGATTATAAATGTTTCCAATTACTTACAGGACTACTTAAAGTGGGGCTTAGCAAACAAGTTTGCGGTAAGATGATCTGGCACTGTGTTCATGATCCTGTTGCAATCGGTTATTAGCGCCACTTTCTCTGGATTCCATGTGTAGCTACAAATTATTGCCTCAAAGGGAAATATGTACACAGTAATTCATTACATTTGTATGTGTTATTAGTACCCAGATTACAGCACAGTTGCACATTTTAATACATTGTTCATGATGAACTGAGATCCCCAACCCCACATGATTAGTGGTCAGGGCAGTGTTGCATGTTCTTTTGTGAAAGCAGCTGTTGTAATAGAGAATATACTTCAACAGTACAATAGTTGGGGAGGAGAGGCTCACAAGATTCCAGTAGCATCTTTGCAAGTCTGAACTGGGCACATACTGTACAACAACCAGCCTGCAGGTGATCCCCTTTGGAGACTGATCCTTTTTGTGCAAAGTACTTCCATCTGAGAAAGAAACTGTAGTGCAAGAGCTACAGATAGTTCACTGAACACAAAGCACAAAAGCAGCTTGTAGAAAGAAATGGCAGCCTTTGTGGAGTTTTTCTTTTTAAAACTGGTCCACATCAAGAAATCAAACTCCACCTGCGGTCCACTTTTCTTTTTGTCAGAACAGCTGCACATTATGAATAAATAGGTCAGTGGGAATGAAAGCAGGTACTGAGTGGCTTCGTTTTCCAGAGTGGTGATGTTGGCCGAGCACATCTAAGTAGCATTCAGCTCCAGCTGGTATGTTGTAGTTCCTCTCTGAGCCAGCTGGGCAGTGACTGTCCCAATTTGTTTAACAGCTTTGACAATTCCACATTGTGCTCCCTGTAATAATCTTTCAGAAATGTCCGAGACTGCAAGGGGAAAGAACAAAAACACACGACGACAAGTGAGCAGCTATGAATAGTTTGAAGCAACTCTGGCTAATTTTATCTCTCTCTATCCCAGGCAGCATGTTGAGGCCAGTTGTAGTTTCCCAACTAAATTTGTGGAGATCAGTTGGTATGGTTCAGGCAGTTTATTTGCCTATTGTCACAGTAAAAAAAACAAATAATGCTATTGCTGTTTGGCATGAGCTGTAACAGGTAGCAATCAAAGTGGTTTAAATTGTACTTAAAATCTACTTTTTAAAAAAAAATGCAACAGTATACAAAGCCACCAAGTGGGAATTAAATATTTGTATAAGTTCAATCCTGCTCTGCCATCAGGAAACATGCTTTGGCCAATAGAAGGAAGTTATTGACTTATCCCATTTTCCTGGCTAGAACAGCACAACAAAAATTTTAAAAGATTTAAAAAGCAGAATACATTGCTTGATTTTGTATTTTATAAGATGTCTTGTTGGAAAATAAAAGGGCAAACTATACTGCTGCCTGCAAGTTATTACCTATATGTTTTCACATTCAGTGCATTTTCTCAGGCCTAAAATCTGTTTAAGAAGAAAGCTTGACCAAGTATGGTATGAATTTCAATGGGGGCAAATGTATAGGAGGCACATATCAGGGAGGTTGAAAGAGACTTTAAAGTTAACAGGATGGTGGGATAAATTGTGAAGATCATCAGAAATCATGATGTGGTCGGGGTGCTGAAAGAAGGCTGTATGTGCCAATACAAGGAAATCAAGCAGGCCCTAGAGAGAGTGCAAAGGAGAGCAATAGGGCTGATTCCAAATCTTAAGTTTAATGAGGGGTCTTCACCCTCCAAAAAAAGACATCTCGGAGTGGGGCCTTATAAACAAATATAACATAATTAAAAGGATAAAGTCATTGAAATATACCAAGGTGACGGTTGTGTGGAGCAGGCACCAGGAACTATTTCTTTATCTAGAGGGTAATTGGAAGCTGAAATGAATTACCAGGGATGGTGCTGGAGACTAGGACACTGGATTCATTTAAGAAATAACTTGATGTTGTAATGGGAAGACAGTCAGTAGGGTTGGTATTATACACAAAGATAATTCTGTGATGAATAGGATCGTATGCCACAAAATATTATACTCACAATTAAATCCATGTCTGGATATTTTCTTCCTTTACTTTTCCCTAAACATTTTGCTTTGCCGCCTTCTACGACTTGACACCAGAAATTCTTGCTGTCATCATACCTGAAATAGACATTATTAATGCTGGGTAAGTACAATTCATACACAGCAAAACATTGTTAGGAATGTCAGATAACTGGCTGGTACATGTACAAGCCTAAAACCATTAGGATTGCAATTGATTCCCTTAAAATGATGCAGTATTTTTCCTTTTCCACTTTCAAACAAAAGTGCTGTAAGGATAAGTAGTGTACATGTGCACAAATCAAGTGAAATAAATGACAATCAGCATGTAGATTTACTGGAACTTGCTGGAAAGAATTCTGTATCCTTTACTGTTGCTAGTGGGCTATTACAATAGTTTTACTACATGCTTAAATGATGTGTATCAGGTACTTTATAATATTAGCTTTAATGCTTAGTGTTCACTCGTATCAATCTAGATTTGGCTGCATTTATACAGTACAACATTTGGCTCATTCGTTGAGAGAGTCTAAATTCCAGCTGAGTTTGCATCAAACTCCCTGTAGGTTATCAGATCAATACCTGCAGAGTTTTCTATTCTAACAGACCTTAAGAGTTCTGAAATGTAAACTACTCATGGAGTCACTGAACAACACTAGTATGGAAAATAACACGTTTCCAAAGCGGAGTCCTTTACTACTTTGAGAGTCACACTATGGAGATCAAATGCAGCCCATAGTTTAACCCTAAACTTAATAATAATTAAAAAGCGACCAGATAATCGACTTACCAACCGGGATCCTACTTACTGCTAGGTAAACGGGGGTGTGGAGTGAGGAAACTTGCCCAAAGTTTCACCCTGCCTGGGAATCAAACCCAGGTCCTCTCACGTGAGGTAAGTGCTCTAACCACTAAGCTACAGGACTCCACAACTTGTTGCAATACCTATTATTATGGTCTATTTTAATTGAGATTCAAGGGATTTATACTACTATAGTAATTCCCAAATAATACAACTTTAATAATGCACAGGGTAATTACAAATCCTTCTTACAGTGTTAGTTTTTTTTGGCATTAAATACACCAAACCAAGTGATACCATTTTATTCAATAAAACACATGCTGCATATAATTTTAATGCAGTATTTATATCCAGGAGAGACTCTAAGCCCAAGTCAATTCTCATAACACAGGATTAAAGAAAATACATACGTGAGCGCCTGAGTGTAGTTAAAGTGAGGCATTACACCAAGGAATTTCTGTACATTTTCCATGACCATTACAGGCTTGTTACGCAACTGTGAACCATCAACAATGAGGAACTGTAGGAAAAAAAGAGCCTATTAAATATCACAATGAAGGAGGCTTCTGATAGAATTCTACTTGGGTGTGTGAAAGAGAGGAATGACTTTAATATGAACACTTTTCAAATGTAATATTTGCTTTTAGTATATGAGACTCATACACACATCTGCTCCAATCTGACTGGTTTATACATTAATCAATAACCATTCCTAGCTACTAGGTAAAGATCATGTTTGCAAAAGTATTACTCATTACCAGATCAGCATAGCATAACAACCCGCCTCTATTTACCTAACAATCAGTAGGAACCCGTTTTTTAGACTCGCAACCAGCTGGAATATTTGTTGTGAGTGAAATTTTCTTTCTTGCCCAAACAAGCTGTCCCAGACAAAGGAAAGCAAATAGTACATTACTGAGAGCTGGGGGTGAGGGAAAAGCAGCTAATCTGACTGCTGCCTTTGCTTAGTGTGTGGGTACTGTTTTCCTTGGAAGGAATGGGAACAAAAATGGAGCTTTTGCTGGCACCTTTCACTCTGGTCGCTCTTCCAAAGATATGGACTCTGCAAAATCTTTCTTACAGTGTTAGTATTTTTATTTGGTGTAAAATCTACCAAACCAAGTGATACCATCTCCTGTTCATAAAACACATTTTGCATATAATTTCACATGGGACTGTGCAAAATGATATTGCCCCGGCAACTAGGAGTCAAATTGATGTTTACTGGTACAAACAGTATTAAACTAACAGTGATGAAACATAGCCTTACCTTGCTTGGCTGATACGATGTTAACCATCTTTCAATGTGAGAGGCATACAAGCCCGGTGCCAAACAGCGATTCTGCAGAGCACGCACATCCTTAGGTGAGCCCGCACCTGCGGAAATCACCTGGTAGAACGTGGAATTCAGAGCTGCAGAATCCTGGTGTGCTCTCTGGTGCTGGTGGAAAAAACATTTTTAAAAATTGACAACTGTTTTCCCAATAAAAAAAACTTTACTCCCTTTAGCTTTCCCCTCCATCCTTTGTCCTTTATGTGTTCGGGTGTGAACTTCCCCATCGGTTAATGAGAGAAACGTTTCAGGGAGTGGGAATGCTCCTGATGGTCACAACTTTTTTTTCCCCGCCTCCTCAAAATTGAGGTCAACTACCACAAAGCACCTGGTGGCCTGGGTAAACACTGCAAACAAAATCCACCTCTAAGAGAAGTCTTGAATGCTCACCCAGGCTAGGATTCAAACCAACACTCGATGGTCAGTTGCAGAAGAACCACAGTCTCTGGGTTTTGAGCCACCTCTACAATGGGAGTTTGTGTGCGTGTTCCCCACATACAAGTACATTGATGCATAAATATATGGATAAGGCCAGTATACATTATATTTTACTACTACATTTTTAGATCTTTTAAAGGGAACTTTATGCTGAACATAAATTCCAAGTAAAATACTGCAACAGTACCTGATACCAGGAGTAAGCTCTCTCTGCTGGATTGATGAGAATTGTAATTATTTTTGCTCTGGGGAGGAGTGCTGCTGCCCTCTTAGGGACGACCTCAGATGCAAAGTAATTTGCACTTTTTTCAAACATGAAGTCTGTGCTTGCATTTGACGGAAATGGAAAGAAGTCCATGTACCTGAAAAATAATAGGGTGCACATCTGAATACTGAAGAACCAATTTGCCCTATAGGGAATATATTATGCCCTAGTTACCATTAAATGATTGACCTTTTCGGTGCTATCGCCGTGAAAAATTATTTCTCTGCCAGGCAAACAACGTGCTTGATTGCCTCACTAATACAATAATAATCCTTGCATTTGATATAGCGCCTTATCATGTTTTCAAGATGTCTCATAACATTTCACAAAATATGCTGTAAAGTGAATTGACTATATTTTGTGGGGGAAATGTGGCAGCCAATTGTGCACAGCAGTGTCCCAATAACAGTCGTGGATTGAGTGACCAAATTATGATTTTTTTTAAGGCATTATTAACCCCAGGAAAGCGATCCGCCAATCGACTAAAAAGCAGATTCCTACTTGCTGTTAGATAAATAGAGGCGTGTTGAGTAAGGAAACTTGCCTGTGGCTTCGCCCCGTCCGGGAATCGAACGCAGTCCTCTCACCACTATGCTACAGGACTCCACAGTAAGTCAATAACAATACACCTTATATTGCTACTCCACCAAGCAACAGCCCTGCTGCATATATATTTCTGAATGATATACTGGATTGAGCAATTCCCAATGTTAAAGCTGACCAGAGATAGCTATAAATGCCAAAGCCTAATTGAATCTTACCAGTCAATCCCCTTGCCATAGTTGACTCCGTTAAAGAACTGAATCTCCTCAAATGTAACTGGACTGGGGAAGTTACTGGTGATACCAGGATGCAAGGACAAGAAAAAGTGCAAAGCTGTCGTACCTATGGAAATGTACAAACAGTTAAAATCTGTTGTTTGAAAACAGAAAAATGCATCTTCTTTTTGTACATTATTAACATAAAAAAAACTCAATCCTCAATGGCCCAGTGATTTTTTTTCCCAGGGAGTAGCTGAACTACACAATCTGGGGGCTAGTCTACAATTAAGTGGGAACGAAGGTCCCTCCTGAATGAGACACCCCCCCCTTTAGCTGACACTGGTGTTCCTCCAGTCCAGAAATTTGCTTCAGAACAACCACTTCAGCAAGACCTGTAGTGCGTCCACAATATACACACCTCACCACCAAGACAATTGTAAGAAAATTACAAAAGTGCATGAAATAACAAAAGTGCATGAAATAAAGAGAGGAAATAAAGAAATTTGTTGGTGAAAGGTACCAGTTTTCTGTGGGCCAATAATAAGGAACTTAGGAAGCCTGTCACACGTTTTCTCTTTGGACCAGATATCCTTATGTCGCTTATCATCACATGGGTTCTGAAAAACAAACCAAATGAAATTTACAATCCAACAAAAGTAAAATCACTCTCAATACAGCTTATGAATCATATGACTGATGGACATTGATCTGCGACTATTTATTGGGCACAATAATAGTTTCCCGGTTGAGGTGGATGTTAAAGATTCCATGGCACTATTCGAAAAGAGAAGGGAGTTTCTCTCAGTGCCCTGGTTAATAATTCCCAAGATAAAATTTGTCATTCACTTTATGGCTGTTTGTGGGACAACGCTGTGCATAAATTGGCTGCCAAGTTCACCTACAAAATAAATACAGTTATCACATTGAAGTAAATCTAGTGAGTGATACGAGATGCCATTACATGAAAGGCACTGTATCAAATGCATGGGTTTTTATTTTAGTTTTAATAAGAAAGTACTCTTTTGCGCTCTGAAAACAGTGTATCATTTTTAAAAGATAAAAATTGATCCATTACCCCATTCTGCCCCAAATATTCTTCATTCTCCAATTATTTATGTTCTTGAGCAGAGTAAAGGAGGATAACTACACTTGGCTGGTGCAGCTGAATAGTTTAATAGTAGATACACAATATTCTATCCTGTTCGGCTCAACAGTCCCATTAGATTTTATTGCATTGATTCTCGATACAACAAACAGCAAAATCGATACATTTGAATACAAGAAAAAAATAGATAAACATCAATTGATTACAATTTTTCAGAAAATTACAATCTTGAAACATAAAAGGAAATAAACTTGAAACAAACATAGATTTGAATTTCAGCATAGGAACTTGCACATCACTTACACAGACTGAAATCTGCTCCCTATCAAAAAAAAGTAGAATCTTCAAGAAAATACTTCTGGATTCAGCAGTTGTGTGAGATGTGAAGTACATAATATGTGCAGGCACATCAACTAACATACTGCAGGAGCAATTCCTAAAAGGCTAATAACTATGCAAATGTCACCCGTTTACACCCTTGTGATATTGTAGAACTTAATTTTTTATAATAAGTTATGCAGTACAGTATAATAAAAATAAAACTGAAAAATCATTAAAAGCGCTGTACCTGAATGTCAATCAATGTCAATCAAACACCACCTTCTGAAAGTAAGTGTGCATCATTCAGTCATGTTTCACTTGAGACCGTCTCAAGGCTGGTCTCGAGACCTTTCTCATCGACCGTGCCTTCAGCTCCCCTCTCGACTCTCTACCCCCTCCTCGCTCCCTCCCTTCCCTCCCCTCACCCTGACTATTTCGGCCCTGCTCGGGTCCCAACCCAAGTGTCCAGCGCCTTGGGATGTCCTCCCGACGTGAAAGGCGCTCTATAAATGAAATCTTGTTGTTGTTGTTGTTTCACAGTGCCCTCTCCCCAGCAGGTTGGCAGGGAGGCAAATACAATACGTTTGCAGATTGCAATCCAGCCTGGAATAGGTGAGCAGGGAGCCCCCCCTTGCTGTCTCAGGACCCCACGCAATTGCATGTCTGGCATATGCCTAATGCTGCCACTGTTTATAAGTACACCAGGATGAATGTGTAAAACATGAAGGATTTTCGTACCTGCCACAAGGGGTCCTTCTCCTCTGGGAAAAGCTCAAAGTACTTCTCTGCTAGGTGCACAGGGGGTAATGTCTGCAGCTTCAGATTAGTCCAGCACTGCACAAACTTCACGAGGCTCTCGAAGGTGTATAGCCCCAGGCGATCGTTGCCGTAGTTTGACAGGTGTGTCATGAAGATGCTAATCTGGAGGTTAAAATGAACAATCCTGTGAGTTGCAATGCTTTACAGGGTGTTTCAGGGCATTTTAGGGCATCCACAAAAATAACTAATCTCCAGAATGAAGCTCAAGAAAATTGAACCAATTTGTCCCATCACAGTTGTTTCTCCAGATAAATTAATTAGCCACATGTAATTTTTCTACAACCAGAACAATTAAGCAGCTATATTGGAAATATAGCAAGCATGATTAATGATTTTTTTCAGTAATGCTAAATAACACTTATCAAACACCAAGCTTCCCAAATAAAAATAAAGGCAACTATTTAATTCAATCTTTGTTTATAATAATGCGGTACTTTTTATAAAATTCCAACCAGCTTTATGGTTGTGATTGGTGCTCCCGCACTGTGATGGCATTGATCACGACCAGTGACATCACACTGTGTGTGCCTAGCAAGATGGCAAACTCCATCGAGTGCATCTCACTTCAAGTCACCATGTTGCACTTTAAAATAACACATGGTACCTCTCACCTTATGAAGCACGACAACACGGGTGAGAAGCGAGCTGGCTGCTATTCAGCGTGTACCTTGGATTATTTGGTAAGTAAACATTGGGAACCACAACCCAATTCCGCTATAAATAAACCTGCATTATAATAACATGGGTTATAATGGTGACCCAATTAAAGTCACCCAAAAAGCTGCATGAAAGGCTCTATATAAATACAAATTGTAGTTGTTATTCTACTATAATAGTGACAATTCAATATGCAACCTGCTCCACACATTAGGGGGGAGTGAATAACTGACACCACAGGCAATCAATACATGGTTCAAAATCCTCCATATTTGTGAAAAACACTTCTTTACAACTGTCTTATGTTTGCCTACAAAAATGTTACACTTTACAGTAAATTCTGTGAATCACTGTTGGAAGACCTCCCAAAGCGACATCAAATGCAAGGATTATTATTGTATTATTATCATTTCCCTCAAGTGTTCTGTGTACACAACTGTGGTGTCAATCATTGTAAAATGAAAAAGTCCATCTTTTAAGTCTCTTCAGTCACACGAGTTTGCTATCCATTGTTCTTTGCCATAAAGGGAAAAAAATCACCACAAATATAACAAACCTACCCTACATCTGTATAGATCCTAAACAGCAAAAGACTTTGGAATGTGCTCAAGGACATAACAATTTGGTTTTGAGATGATATTAATATACTGCTCAACCTTTGCTTTGACTCGGGGCTGAATTTTTCAGCATGTAATAAAATTACACAGTGTACAATTGTAGCTAAAGAAATTTAAATGACTAGTCATACCACAATAGTCAACACATATTTTGCAGTTTAAAGGTTATCAGCCCTCGCTGAAAAACTCAGTAATGTCCTAGATGGTGGACAAGACAGGAATTCCACTCAGTGCTGATGCCCTTTATAGTTAAATTAAACAGTCTGGTGAAGCTAGCACACATTTAGAACAGCCATTTGGTGAGGAGGAGAGCTGCCAGCACCTGCAAAATTATTTAAGAAAGCGGAAGTCACTGTCTTCAGGAAGGCAGACTAGAAGATTCCGGTGGGGGCAGAGTGGGGGTGGAAAGAGGGGAACCTACACCACAAATGACTGAAGTTCAACAAAGCTGCACCCTGTCATTACCATATCTGAAAATATTGCTTTAGTTTATCCTGTTAGCATTCTCCATAAAGGACAGTTTGACGCTGAAGCCAACTAATTTATCTAGACATCACTTGTAGCTCATCTCTCTCATCCTTTTGGCTTTTTTAGTTTTAACCTGGAGGTGTCAGAAAAGTTACCACAGGGATACCAGGCTTGTGGTGGTGAAGCATTGATTGTGACATTGCTTTTTGATCCTTCAATGTCAACTCTTCCTATCAACTTAAAGCAGGATTCACCAAGGATTGTTCACCCACTAATAGGGAGCATGAGCTGGATTTAGACTGTCGTGACACAGGTTAGTTTTACTCTACTGATGATGTGCGGTTGCAATAGTAATCCTTGGCTTCTTGGGTTTGGATCTTTCATGTATGTTGTATTGTGACTGTCCAGCACCTTTGTGGTGAAGCATTCATTGTGACATTGCAATGTGAATGTGAATGAAGCGATACAAATGTAATTTGTTCTTGTTGTTGCTCCTTGTTGTTGTTGTTGAGTGTAGCCTAAGCAGGAGAGCACTATATAGCTCGACTTAGGGAGATCTGAATTCAACTAATTTGGCAATGTAGCACTGAATCCTATTCTCTTTGTTTATTGGTGCCTTAAACTGTTTTTGATATGGTGAGAGACAGTCAATTAACACCCTGAAGATTCTTTCAACCTCCTTCCTATTGATTTCTATCTCATCCACAGAGTAAATCTGGCTCTTATTTTTTACTCCCGATGCCAAACCCCATACATTAACTTAATTTGCCAATGGTTGGATCTTGTCTCACACCTTTGGGTTCCACAGTTCACTCCCTCCCTCCCTTCCACAATATCACCGCAGGTTGGTGTCATCTGCAAATGTAACTACCAAGCACTGTGTTTGCAAAGTGGAGTCCTGTAGCTCAGTGGTTAGAGCACTCGCCTCACAAATGAGAGTCCTGGATTCGAGCAAAATCAGCAAAACCTTGGGCAAGTTTCCTTACTCCACACGCCTGATAATAATCCCTCAAGAAAAAAAAACAATAATAAAACTGCTTTGGGACATTCCTTTACATGAAAGGCACTATATAAATGTAACTTGTTAGTGCATCATACTACCCCAAGCCAAGAGGACAGGCAACCACACGACTTGCTGCCAGGTATTTGTTAAGGCTACTTTTACACTGGGTTTCTGCCCAAGTTGACTCACTCTCCAAATCTCCCTCGCTGAAGAGAAGCATCAGAATACTGCCCTAGCTTATCTCTGAAGCACGGCTGAAATCAGAAACGTATTCTGTGGAAAACAGTGGGTGCAAAATAATGTCTCAATGTTCCATAGAGATGTTTCTATGCTTGCAATGCTGTTCTAACCAAGGCTACTTTCAACACTCCACAACCCTGATCACACTATAGCAGAAAATGTAGCAGTATTTTTCTTTCAAATCACATTGCATGCCAAGAGCATAGGACTATAAAATGGATAACTGTTTAATAGTCTCTTTGGCTGCAACATGATTGATATACAACTGCTACTAAATTTCTATCACTATTAAAAGTACATTCCATTGGTAATAGCCCTTCTAACCATTTTTGGGAACTTATTCTTACAACAAATAAAGTGAAGACCATAAGGGAAAATATCTTAGTGCCTGGATTCATCAAAATATTTTTGAGGAGGGAGGTGGATGTCATTAACATCATCAAATACATACAACTTGAACAGTCATTGAAAGTTGTCCTATATTTGTTTCATAAACAATCTTCTCAAACATATAAGAGAAGAGTCAGAACATCACTTCACTGACCAATTGGATCTGAAGTACATGACAAAGTGAATCCAGATCAGAATCCATCCTAGACTTGGAACTCATGTAGTCTAATGGGCTGATACTCATGACATTGCAGGGCTGGGGGTTTGTTGCATTGTTGGAGGTACCGTCTTTGGTATTAAGCTGAGGCCTTGTCTGCCTGAGCAGGTGGACATTAAAGATCTTGTGGCACTATTCAAAAAGAAAAAGGAGTTTCTCCCGGTGCCCTGGGCAACAATCCCCCAAATAAAATTGGTCATTCACCTCTTGACTGTTTGTGGGCATGGCTGAGCGCAAATTGACTGCCGCGTTCGCCCACAAAACACACAATCACTCCACTTTATATCCTGTGAAGCACTTTGGGATGTTCTTCCGACATGAAAGATGCTATACTAAATGTAAAGATCATTATTATTACAAATTTAAGTACACATCAACTATTAAACTCCTGCAATGTAATGGCTGCTGCATTGTAAATATGGGTCCTTAGAATGAAATAGTTATCTAACTGTATACACTAAACATTGTATAACCTGGAGGTACATAATGCTCATGAGGCAAATACAAATGGATACAAGTAGTCATTTGTTAAAATACCTGAACTTTGGGAAACAACTTAAAGAAAGAACATTTTAAACTATAAAGTAATTTACAGGTGCTTCCTTTAATGCTCAATGTCAACTTCAGTGTTTTTTGCAGGAGGAAAGGCATCAAAGAGAAGCTAAATTAGCAGAAGTAGGGAGTTAGCCACTTTGCAGTCCTCAATAAGAAATGATATAGGTCATTTCAAAAAGTCATACAGATCTAAACATTCCTCAAATTACAAATCCAAGGATTAGTAGAAATTTGAGCAATCTTATTTTGGAGATACAATAGAGAATTATTTAATGTCTCAGAAGTACTATATCAACAACCATGTTCCACCTCCAAGATGTTAATAACAAAATACATTTACTGCTGTTGCCACCCATTGAATCATAGTTTCTTCTACTGTACTCTCCTTCAAGCCCCCATTTGTCCAGTATGGGAACCTGTTCCTGTCATTTATTATCCTCTGAAAGGAAAGGCCTCCTAGTGTTTGTACTGAAATTGCCCTTTGCAAGCCTTGAACTGTATTCTCTTGTTCTGCTGGGTCAGTACATCTGAAAGTATTGTTCTTGATTTGCTTCCTTAATCTTAAATATTTGATGACCATGCATGCCTCTTAGTAGAAACAGAACATTCCTAGACTTGATCAATATGTCTGGTCTTTGTACACTGTAGCCTGATTGTAGAGGGAGCAAGGATCTGCCACATTTACAATATTCTTTTGCTTGCTATTGTTTTTATTGGAAATAGCCTGGAGTCTGCACTGAACAGAATACATGCTGTATCACTACTCAGTTAGTCATATAGGAAAGTGTGTGTCTACACAATTTTATCGTTGACTTACACAAAATTAAGTACACTCAAGCACAACACAGCAAGTAGTGTTATATACACAGCAGACTAAGGCGTGAAATTGGAACAGAATTTTCATTCACTATCCTATAACTATGCTGCGAGTTGCAATTAACCCAAGGCAAAGAAA